AGCCAGCCCTTCACCGTCCTCTTCGTATCTTCCCCCTTCCCCTTCCGCCTCGCCCTCCGCTGCTTCCGCTTCGAGCTCGCCAACGCCCTCCTCGTCCCCCTCCTCCTCCCCCTCTCTCTCTCCCTCGGCTGTTCCGCCAGCCAGCGCTTCGCCATCCTCTTCGTCTCTTCCCCCTTCCCCTTCCGCCTCCTCCTCCCCCTCTGTTTCCCCTTCTAGCTCGCCAGCACCCTCCTCCTCTCCCTCTCTTTCTCCCTCGCCTTTTCCGCCGGCCAGCGCTTCGCCATCGTCTTCCCCCGTTCCCGCTTCCCCTTCCGCCTCCTCGTCGCCTGCTGCTTCCCCTTCTAGCTCCCCCGTTCCCTCCTCCTCTCCTTCTCCCTCTCTTTCTCCTTCACCTTCTCTGCCGGCTAGCGCTTCTCCCTCAACTTCGGCCGTCCCCCCCTCGCCGTCGGCTTCAATCCCACCTTCCACTTCGCCGGCATCATCCCCATCCCCTTCGCCGCCTAGCATTCCTCCCTCAGCTTCTCCTTCTCCTTCGCAATCCCCCACAGCCTCTTCACTCCCTTCTGCTAGCCCGTCCCCTTCTAGCTCTCCCGCTTCGTCTCCTTCGCCCTCCCCTTCAAATCTCCCCGCTTCAGCCAGCCCGTCCCCGTCAGCATCCTCTGTTCCCCCTTCTCCGTCCGCAAGCCCTCTGGCCTCGCCTTTCCATTTGTCGTCACCCTCCCCCTTTCCTTCACCTTCCTCCTCCACCATTACCGCCCCATCACCGTCGCAGAGCACCTCACCGCCTTCTCCCAGCCCTTCTCCTTCTTCATCATCCAGCCCCGCTCCTTCGCCGCAGCCCACCCCTTCCAGCTCTCCTTCTCCCTCTCCTCCCCTCCCCCTCGGCCTCTCCGTCTCCTTCCTCCGTTGCCCCTCCCCAACCCCCCCACTGCCCTCCCCTTCCCCCGCCCCATCCCCACTGGCTGTCTCTCCTGCCGCTGCTCCCACAGGGACGGACGGCTACAAGTACTTGCCCACTGGGCCCGGCTTCACGGCCGCCGTGGCGGGCCAGACGGCCACCTTCCAGCTCAGCGCGCGCGACCTGTATGGCAACGCCGCCCCGCTGGGCGCTCTTAATCTGACGGCCTATTTTGTGCCCAACAACACTGTGGCCTTCAATATGAACGTCACGTCATCCACCGTCACCGTGACGTACAAGATCAACGTAGCTGGCTCGTATAGTTTCCGGCTGCTGAGGAACGGAGGCAGCATTTACAACGGCACTCTCAACGGGCTCACCGTCAATCCTGGTAAGCGATGGCACCGTCAAAGACGCAGGTGGTTCCAACATATAAGATAAATTGGTACGACGGTTCTGGCAGAACGATGTCGAAACAATCAACAATCAAATGCTTCAATTTATGTATCTTTAAAGTTCATCACTGTCTGCACAAATGGAACGCCGAAAGCTTCTCTTTTTATGTATCACTTGTCTTGCAGTGAACTGAAGGAGAGTTTGTTTTTGTCTGCGCAGCTGCGGCTTACGTGACCAAGTTCAGCGTTGCTGGCGCTGGGCTCAACACGACGATGGCGGGCACCGCGACGAGCTTCCAGATCCAGGCGCGCGACGTGTACGGCAACCTGGCGGCCGCGGACCAGACGCTGCTGGCGGCCCGCCTCGTGTCGAGCGCGGCAGCCGTGGTGCCGACCGTAACGGTGGTGGCCGGCTCTGTGGGGCTCTACAGCGCGGCGCTGACGGCCACCGTGGCGGGGCAGTACAACCTGTCCGTCACCTACAACGGAACGCTCATTGCCGGAGCCACGAGCCCGCTGCTCAAAACAGTACTGCCCAGTAAGCCCACAGCAATCGGAAATGGTCTCCGATTGTTCTGCATCAAGTCGAGGGAAAAACAAGCGTGTAGCATCTGCAGTTGACAGCTCCGCAGGGAAGAATTGAAAGACCACTTCACCGATGAAGGGATCTGAAGTGCCGTCTCGTATGAAAATCTGACATTCTCGACTTCTTCTGCTGCTAGGCACGGTATCCGCCCGGCAATGCTTTGCATATGGGGCGGGCATTAGCGGGGGCCTAGCCGGCGCGAACCTGTCGTTCACGGTGCAAGCCGCGGACCAGTACGGCAACGCCATCACGAGCGGCACGTATCTGTTCTCGGCGGCCATCAGCCCCGCCGTCAGCAGCAGCCTCACGCTGACGGCCTCCGCGGCCGGGGTGGCGACGGGCAGCTACAGCATCTCGCAGGCCGGCACCTACACGCTCACGCTCGCGCTCAACGGGACCACCATCAACGGCGGACAGGCATACAGCATTGGCATCGGACCATGTGAGCAGACGGCGCTCGATCAGAGGGCATCACCCGATTCTGAATGCAACCACTCAAAGTCTTCCTGTCGGAGAACTTCTGCAAGAAGACGAACTGGGCGACTCCCGCCTTATTCATCAAGTCGATTCGCGTGAGTGTTTGAATCTGAAATACAAGGCATCGGCTTAAATAGAGAGAACGTTTTGAACGGTCAATTTCAAAAGGGAGCTTCTCGGATTGTTTGTATGGTCAAACTTGTGCGACCTCCCAACAGAGCTGGCAGCTTGCAAACCAAAAGCCTGCCGCTCGCTTGAGGTACCAAGACTCATCCGGATATTCGTGCCTTTCGTTTCAGCTGCTGTGAGCCCCGCCCAGACGACTGTGAGCGGCGCGGGGCTGGCCAGCTCGGTGGCTGGCGTGGCGGGCGTGGTGGTGATCCAGGTGCGCGACCAGTACGGCAACACGCTGCAGGGCGAGCAGGCGCAGCTGTCGGTTGTGCTGCGCAGCCTCGCGGGCGGCAGCAACCTGACGGCTACGGTGACGGCGGTGGCGGGCAGCACGGGGCAGTACCAGGCTAGCCTGAGCCCCACCGTGGCGGGGCCGTACAGCGCCGAGGTGCGCTACAACGGCACGCTCGTCGGCGGGGCCACCGCGGGGACGCCCAAGACGGTCACGCCAGGTACGGGCGGGCCGCGATCTTTCTTCCCCGACGCAAATGTTGATTCTTAGTCTTCGAAGGCTTTTTGATTTCTTAGAAACAAGGTAATGTTACTCTAGTAGACGGACGGCATTCTCATGTTGATTGGAGAATGCCAGTCTGGCTCCAAAATGGCCCATCAAGGCACAATTCAGCGACCCGCGTTGCACAGTGCTTTCGTTGCTCCTCGATCCATCATCGTTCCGTCTTGTGCAGGCCCCGTGTACGGCCCCGCGTGCACGGTGAGCGGCTTGGTGAGCTCCGCGGTGGCGGGCGTGGCCCAGTCGCTGCGCATCCAGGCCGCGGACCAGTACGGCAACGCACAGACCAGCGGCAGCCCCGCCTTCGCGGCGGCCTTCACCCCGGCCGCGGGTACCACGTGGACGGTGATGAGCAACAACGACGGCAACAGCACCTTGCAGTACCGCCTCACCGTCGTCGGCAGCTACAAGATGGCGCTTACGCTCGGCGGCAGCCCGGTCGCAGGCAGCCCCTTCTCGCTCACCGTCACGCCAGGTGAGGGCCCACGAGGCGTCTGGTGCTCTCAACTTTTCTGAAATGTACCGAATTTGATTGTTAACAAAACTAATGAGCCCTTGACTTGCAATACTTCTTCTCAACTCAACCCACTACGTGGTACTCCTATCATTCCAACAATTTCAAGATAGTCATAAAGCAAAGCGTCACCTGCCTCTGTCTTGCACTCGTTAAGATCTGGACGTCAACTACGAGCACTTAACTTTTCGGTTTCATTCAGAGACGAGCTTGCCCTTCCAAGGACCCTACCAGCTTGATCATTGAAGCTTGACGCGAGGCAAGCTCGAGTGACTGAGCGAGCTCGCGGCTCCCTCATCGCTCGACTCACTCCCGGCCCCTGTTCTCCGTCAGGCCCTGTGTCTGCTGCCCAGTGCACGGCCAGCGGGAGCGGTCTCTCCACCGCCACCGCGGGCGTGGCGGCCACGTTCAAGGTGCTGCTGTACGACGCCAGCGGCAACGCCGTCTCCAACGCCGCCCCCTCCAGCCTGGCCGCCACGCTGACGGTAAGCGGTGTGCCGACCGTGATGGGGAGTGCGCACTCGGACGACGTGGCGGCCAACGGGGTGACGGTGTCGTACGTGGTCACTGTGGCCACCGCGTACACGCTCACCATCACGTGGCAGGGCCAGACCATCAGCGGAGGGGTCACCACCGTCACCGCAGGACCGGGTGAGGGGCCAAAGCGGGCGCTCGACTGTCTGTAGCCTGGTGAAACATAGCCTTCTGCAACTTTGTCAGGTTCCACATCTCTTCCAAAGAGAACCTTTTTATGACTCTTGAAAATCTACTGGAGACGGACCAGACGACGAGGGACTCACAAGCTTGCCCTGGTTTTCGAGGGCTGCTTTGCCCCCGGAACTTGAAGCACCTCTTTGGAAAAGATGACTGTTTCGAAAGGTCGATTCCCTCAAGGAACGGCCTTCGCCAGCTTTTTCGTGGGGCCTGCTCGCAGCCAATCAGCCGAGCACAGCTCATGCAGCGCTGAATCCGACAGTGAGTGCTTGCGCTGGTGAAAAGCTTCAGCAATCAGATGCGCCCGCGCAAGCTGACTGTCTTCGTCGATTGTGCCCCAGGCGCCGCGTCTGCCTCGACCAGCACTGCTACGGGCACGGGCCTGTCCGGCGGGGTGGCCGGGAGCAGCCTGGCCTTCACGCTGCGGGCGCGCGATGCGTTCAACAACGCCCTCTCCACCGGGTCCCAAAACTTCAGCCTCAGCTTTGCGCCCGCCACCCCGACGACCGCCAGCGTGACTGACAACGGGGACGGCACCGCGGGCGCTACGTACTCGTTCAACGTGGCGGGCAGCTACACGGCACGTCTGTATCTGGCCGGTGCCGAGCTGGCTGCAAGCCCCGTCGCCGTGCTTATCTCGCCAGGTGGGCATGGTGTGGGAGCATGCGCTCTTCGGCCAACGAGCCCCTACATGGGGTTGTCTGACCAGCCGAGCACGTTCTTGTTCAGAAGCGCATTTGATGTACATCATCATATTAGTCCCTGCTACGTTTATCGTGTTCCCGAACTTCAAAGTTCCTTCAGATCGTTTGCATAACCAACCATCACGAGCTGACGACACGTCCTGTTGCGCATGGGTGGTGCAGGCGCTGCTGTGGCGGGCCAGTCGAGTGCCACAGGGGAGGGCCTCTCGTCGCCCAGCACGGTGGCCGCCAACTCGATCTTGGTGCAGCTGCGCGACAGCTACGGCAATGCGCTCGCCAGCGGGGGCGACAGCGTCACGTACAGCGTGGCGGGGCCGTCTGCGGCGGTGAAGCAGGCCGTGGTTTATGTCGGCGCGGGGGCCTACTCGACGTCGTACACCGTGTCGGGGCTGGGGGCGTACACGGTCACGGTCAGCGTCAACGGAGCACAGCTGCCGGGGAGCCCCTTCAGCGCCACGGCCACCGCCGGTGAGCGGCTCGCGGGCGGCTGTCAGCACTGCCGGCCGCGATATGCGTCGGCCGTTTGAACTTCGGTGGACAAAGTCCATGCAGGGTTTAAGCTAACCCCTACCATCAAATATTGCTTTATGACCCAGACCACCGGGTTTTATCGAAGGTTATGCTAAACCAGGTTTAGACGCTGCGCGCGAGCAAAGGTTTCTTCAACTTCTTGTCCAAGCTGATTTGCCGACGAGAAGTTGAGACCATTCAGCAGAACACACCTGCAATGATCAATTGGATGTGTGCCAGCATGAAAGGGCGCTGCAGCGTTACGCTTTTCTGCTACTTTCCAATGCTCATGTCAAGCTAGGCGCACTCACCAATTACTAGGAGCACGCGCCTGACGCTACAATGCTGTGTGTGCCCCTTCAGGCACTGCCCGCGCCGCCAGCTGCAGCGGCAGCCTCAGCGCGGCCACACTGGTGGCGGGCCAGTCCGGGCTGCTCACGGTGCAGGCCAAGGATGCCAGCGGCAACGCGCTCTCCAGCGGGGGCCTGGCCTTCAACGTCCGATTCAGCCCCACCCCAGCGACTGGCCCCGCCCTGGCCACCACCACCACGGACGGCAACAACGGGGCATACACGCTGCCCTTCCAGATCAACGTGGCCGCCACCTACTCTGTCGCAGTCACGCTGTCGGGGACGGCCATCGCAGGGAGCCCCTTCGCACTCACCGTGCTGCCAGGTGGGGGCAAGGGCTCCAGAATGCACCCATGAAAGTGGACTTATGTCTTCTTAGCCATGATTCCTGATTCTAGACCTCCTGATCCTGTTTTCAAGGCTTGAACTTTAGCTTCTGCAATGTGGAAGCATGCTGAGGTGATCATTGAAGTCAGCATTGGGCCCTGCATCCATTAGACCAACTGCCCCTGGTGTTTCCCTGTCTGTTGCTGAGCCGCGTGTCTGTGTGCAGGTGTGGTGAGTGCCTCTTCCTGCACTGCGGCCGGGAGCGCCATCTCATCTCACACGGCCGCCAGCAATGACTCGCTGGTGGTCACGGCCAAGGACAGCTACGGCAACACCGTCACGGCCGCCACCGATGCGGGGGGGCAGCCCATCAGCTTCACGGCCACCCTGGCGGGCCCCGCGGGGAGCAGCAGCACGGCGCTGGCGGCCACGCCCAACCAGGGCCTGTACAACGCCACGCTCAACATGCAGGCCGCAGGCACCTACAGCTTGCGCGTCTCCTACCAGGGCACCAACATCAGCGGCAGCCCCTTCGGAGTCACCGTTTCTCCAGGTGGGCACCTCTGCTGTCACTGCTGGACACGAGGTCAACAAGAGGACAGCATGATTGGTCCTCCATATTTGCATGTCAAGCTGGAACCAGAGACTCAGGAAATTGAGCTTTTTATATTGGACATCTTGCCTTGAATACTGGGACAGGATTCGCTAGGACCGACCACATGTTCATCTCTAAGAAAGAGGGACTTGGTTGTCTGCTGTCCGGTCCACCTGGACGAACCTGGAAGACTCACTTGTTCCTCTTGTCCCTTTGGTCCAGGCCCGCCCTCTGTCGCGTACAGCATCCTGTCTGCCGCCATGAATCCAGTGGTGGCGGGGGCGCAGGGCGCCCTGGTGATTCAGGCGTACGATGCATTCAACAACAAGCGCACCGCAGGGGGTGACGGTTTCAGAGTGACCATGACCCTGGGCAGTGCCTCCTTCAGCGGCACGCCCGCCGACAACGGCGACGGCACCTACACGCGCGCCTTCAACAGGACGGCCGCCGGCAGCTACACCATCCAGGCCACCTACAACGGGGCTGCCTTCAGCACGCTCGCCGCTCCGCAGATCGTCGTGCCAGGTGCGCAGTGCCCAGAGGACGTACAATTGCATTTTATTGTGAGCCCGTACTTGGAGGCTGAGCTGATACAAGATCCGAGGCTGGTTCTGCCTCATGCCTTGCACCGGTTTCTTCTCCCAGCATGGATTCATTTCAGTATGAGCGTTGACTAACACCTGACTCGGCTCTCTGTTCCTTCTTCCCAGCTGACGTGTCGGTGAGCCAGAGCGTGGTGAGCGGCACTGCCCTGAGCAGCCAGGCCGCAGGCACCGCGCGCGTGCTGCAGCTGCTGGCGCTGGACGCGTTTGGCAACGCCATCACGGCGGCCACCACCGCCAGCAGCGTGCCCATCATCTTCACGGCCACCGTCGCCGGCCCGCAGGCCCTCACTGCGCTGCTCACTGCGGCGGGGGGCGGCGTGTACCAGGCCACCATCACCCTCACGGTGGCGGGGACGTACTCGCTGGCGGTGGACTACAACTCGCAGCTCATAGCGGCCAGCCCGTACCCCGTCGTCACAATTCCAGGTCCGATGAAGGACCTCTGCCGCTCCCTTGTGCCACAACAGCCTGTGTTGCAGGTCGACAAGCTGACTCATGTTGTGTTCGGCCAGGCGTTTTGAGAGCTCCAAAATTGACGGTTGCTCGTTGCTGCCAAAAGAGTTCGCCTCGGTACATATTCCCTGTTACGTTGCACTCGACCTCTAAGCTCTCCTTCCAAAGCTCAACGGGCGTCTTTCGCATCCGCAGGCCCCATCTCCGCGGCAGGGTCGTTGTTGGCGCTCCCCGCTGCGAGCGTGGTGGCGGGGCAGCCGTTCAGCGTGCTGGTGACTGCGCAGGACGCGTACGGCAACGTGCAGCCCGCGGCGGACCCCGCCTTCCTGGTGCTCCTGCAGCTGGCCACCACGGGGGGCGGGCCCCCCGCGTACACCGGCGCGGGCGTCTACAACTACTCGGCCGCCTACAGCGCGGCCGGCCTCTACACCGTCACCGCCACCTATAACGGCGTGCCAGTCGGCTACAACTCGCTCATCCTGTCCATCGTAGCCGGTGAGGGGGGCACCGCCCGCACCCCGGCTCATGGGGCATGGACCAGCGTGTCTGGAGAGGACCATCAGTTTTCGTGTCTGCAAGCACTGCGTGGCCATTTAGTCGCTGGACGACGCTGACGATCTTGTTCCCATCTCCACAAGGCAACGACCGTCCATCCCTGGTTAGCTTCAGCCGCCTGCTGACTGCTGCATGCGGTGGTGTGCGCAGGGTCGCTGTACCCGCCGTCGTGCGTGGTGCGCGGCAGCGCGCTGGCCGACCTGGCGACGGGCGCCACCCGGTACCTGTCGGTCCTGGCCACGGACGCGTACGGGAACGTGCTCAACTCGCAGTACGACGCGAGCAGGAGCACCATCCAGTTCCAGCTGGCCATCAGCGGCGCGGAGACGCGCAGCACGGCGCTCGTGTACGCGGGCACCGGCCTGCACGAGCAGAGCTTTACGCCGCTTACCGTCGGCACGTACGGCCTGGCCATCACCTACCGCGGCGTGGCCGTCGCAGCCAGCCCCTACACCATGACCGCCTCCGCCAGTGAGCGCACCGAGCCGCCTGCCGCTCCGTGCAGAGCAGGCCAGACGCCGAAATAGTACAGCTGACCGAGGGAAAGACGGGCGGGGCTTTGGCTGGCAGCCGGCCACCAAGATTGGCACCAGTTGTGCAGCCATATTGAAAGATACTGCCGTCCTTGCTTAAAAGTAGAGTCCAATTTTCTAGGTGAAGCACAGCTGGCGCCTGAGACCGCTGCTCCTTCCCTGACCACGGCCGGCTTCTCGTGTTTGCAGATGACGTGTCAGCGGCACAGTCCATCGTGACTGTGAACGGGCCGACGACGATGCAGGCGGGCCAGGTGACGTCGCTGACCATCCAGGCGCGTGACGCGTACGGCAACCCGAAGCCGAGCGCGGCCGCGGGCTTCCTGGTGCTGCTCAGCCTGGACGGGGCCACCAGCGGCGGCGCGCCGACGTTCGTGGGCAACGGCACGTACGTGTACAGCCAGAACGTGACGCAGCAGGGCGACTACGTCATCCACGCCACTTACAACCAGCAGGACATTGCTGGCAGCCCGCTGCAGCTGCACGTCGTTGCAGGTGAGGCACCGCCCGCAGGGACCCAAAGAACTCATCTAGAGTGCCAGCAAACTTCCGGAGAGATTAGTTGTGATGCACACCGCTTCTCAAAGCTTTTAGACGATTCGGCAGACGAGACCCGCCGTCGTGGCAACTTTGTCAGCTTGATAGGGTTGTTACACTTGAGCGTGAACAGGGTCCGATCGAGACGACCAGAGCCCGATCAGGCTCGGGCAAATGCCCTTTTGTTTACATGGCCCAAATTTTGTAGCTGCCGGAGGCCCCAATTTGGGTCGGGGGCTCGGGCAGATGTTGGGTCGGGTCGTGAACTGCCCAACCCGAGGGGCATCGGATTGTGGGCAACCCAATCAAGATTTCTGACAGGCTGAGGTCAGCCGAAGGTCCAGCTGATGGGGCTTCGAACGTAAAGTCTCCAGTGTAACAACCCTAAGAGTTTCTGTGTGCGTGCAGGCCCCGTGGTTGCGTCGGCGTGCTCGCTGTCCGGCAGCGGGCTGCAGTCGGCTGCGGCGGGCACGCCGCTGACGGTGGACGTGCAGGCGGCCGACGCGTGGAGCAACCCGACGGGCGGCCTGGTGGACGCGCTGGGCGTGGCCGTCGTGTTCCAGCTGGCGATTAGCGGGCCATCCGCGGTGAACCAGGTGTTTGCGGTGCTGCCCGGCAAGCAGGAGGCCACGTTCACGCTGACACGTGTCGGACCGTACACCGTGGCCGTGACCGGCAGCAGTACCGCCACAAACGTTCTGGGCAGCCCCTACCAGATTACCATCTTCCCAGGTGCGCGCCCCGTGAGATACTCAGAAGTGCAAAATGATTAGGCTTTGTAACAAAGCTGGTCTGGGGCTTTTGTCGTCGTGCGGCTTGGAACTCTTGGTTCTGCACGTCCTGGACAACAAGCTTCTCTCATCTGCAATGACGAGTCCATCCGGTCCTTGGCAGAAGTCTTGGACGGCTAACTCGTTGCCCTGGTCACGCTGCCCGTCTGAGGACTTCGATCACGTCAAATTGATGGCAACCGCGCATCGTGTTGCATTGCCGCATGACTGACACGCTTCTCTCCCTCCCCCTCTGTGCGTGCAGGGTCCATCGCCGGCAGCAAGAGCAGCGTGAGCATCCCTGCGCTGCCGTCCCTGGTGGCGGGCACCGCGAGCAGCGTGCAGATCCAGGCGCGCGACGCGTACGGCAACGCGCGCGTGCAGGGCGGCCAGGGCTTCACCGTCTGGCTCACCGCGGCGGGGCAGACCGTGAACGGGGCGCCCACCGACAACGGCGACGGCACCTACACCTACCCGCTCAACCTCACGGTCGCCGCCGCGTACAGCATCAGCGTCACCTACAAAGGCACCACCGTGCCCAGCAGCCCCTACACCCTCACCGTCCTGCCAGGTCAGGCCAGCAGCAGCAGCTCCACGCCACACATGTCTAGCCCGTCTGCTTTGCAGTAGCGGGTTGGAGTTTCGTGAAGCAGCATATGAAAGCAGCCTCGCCCCAAGCTGTTTTCCAAAACTGGCGCAGCTAACCCGCCATGCTTCCTCGGGTGCAGGCGTCGTGTCTGGCCCCGCCAGCACCGCCACCGGCAGCGGCATCGCGTCTCGGAGCGCCGGCGACGCCGCCCACGTGGTAGTGACGGCGCGGGACGCGTTCGGCAACCCGGCGACCGCGGCCACGGACGCCGGGGGGCCGGTGTTCTATACGTACACGCTGAGCGGGGCGCTGGCGCTTACGGGCAACCTGACGGCGGCAGGGAGCGGCAGTTTCACGCTGGACTTGCCGCTGGTGCAGGCCGGCAGCTACAGCCTGGCCATCGCACTGCGCAACCAGAGCGCCATCCAGGGCAGCCCCTTCGCCGCCATCGTCTCGCCGGGTGAGCAAGCTGGGACGTACATACACAAGGTGACGCCGCTGCAGGTCTTTGCAAGGCGTTCTGTTTGTTCTCCTAAACGAGCCGCTTCTCGCTGAGAGTCTAAACGTTGGCTCTTGGAAACAAGCAAAGAGAGCGCTTTGTCAAGAAGGGAACAGCTGTGTCATTGCCTGCTCAACTTCTTCTTTTATTCTCTTCTCCAGTCTTTTTCGATTCATTCTTCTGAGATTTTAAAAGGTTTGGCTGAGCGTACGTGCAGGCGCGCCGAGCCCGACGACGAGCCGGCGGCTGCTGGTGGTGGCGGGCGTGCCGAGCACGACGGCGGGCGTGCCCATCGTGTTCACGGTGCAGGCCGAGGACCGCTTCGGCAACAGCGTCACCGGCGACCAGGCGCAGCTGACCGCGCTCGTGTCGGACGGCGGCAACGCCACCGCGGTGGTGCCCATCGCGTATGCTGGGGGGGGCCAGTACAGCACCAGCTTCGCCACGACGCGCACGGGGCCGTACATCCTGCAGGTCGTCATGGCGGGCCAGAACGTCGTCAACAGCCCATCCACCTTCACCGTCCTTCCAGGTGCGCGCGCACGCACCTCATTTGCTTGCACCACCTGGCAGCTACGAGAGAAGTTGCGCTCACTGCTCTGAGCTTGCTTTGGCTTCTACTCTAGCTTTTACTGTACTCTCATTCCCCCTCTTATACCGCTGGCCGGTGCAGGCGCGCTGGACGCGAGCCGCACGACGATCAGCGGCCCGGAGCTGGTGAAGGGCCCAAGCGCGTGGACGCTGGCGACGCAGGCCACGCACATGAGCAGCCTGCTCATCACCACGTTCGACCAGTTCGGCAACCAGCGCGCGCCCGGCGGGGACGCCCTGCTCGCGTCCGTCACCATGCTCGCGCAGGGGGGGGCCACGCCCACGGGTGAGCAAGCGTAGCAGGCCTGTGGCATTTCGGAGTTGAGCAGTACAAGAAAAGCACCTCATTTTGATTAGTTCGAGCAAGTAAACCCAGAATTCGAGACTCCTCCCTTGACGTTTGCTTAAGACGTTCTGCTGCACGCGTGCTGCATTGATCCATATCAATCTGAGCACTACGTCAGCCTACTCCGCCTCTTTTCCCAAAGGTGCCTGCTGAACAAAACCGGCTACAAATTCAGAGAGCACCAGCCTTTCTGCATTAGGTAGGCGACCAGCTGGACAAGAAGTCACTCCCCTTTCGTTTGCCTCCCCTGTTTCCAGTGACTGCGGTGGACAACGGTGACGGCAGCTACTTTTTGCGTTGCGTGGCCCCTTCCCCCGGCAACGGCGTCCTTAACGCGTCCTTGGCCGGGCGGCCCCTGCTCTTCGGCAGCAGCCCCCTGCTGGCGTGGACCGTGGCGCCCCCCGCGGCCGTGTCCATCTCCGCGCTCTGGCCCCCCGCCGGCCCCGTCACCGGCCAGACGGCCATCACCGTCACGGGCCTCAACTTCTTCGCTGCGGACGTGCTGACGTGCCAGTTCGGCGGCGGCGGCGCGGCCAGCACCGCGGGCAGCTTCGTGAACTCGACGGCCGTGGTGTGCCCCTCCCCGCGCGTGGGCGCGCCCGCGCAAGTCAGCCTGCTGCTCACGCTTGGCAGCAACGCCAATGGGCCGCAGGCTTCCTTCATGGGCTTCCGCTTCTATGGTGAGCGCCCCACCCTCTTCGGCCCATCTCCCTGCCTGCTATTCCATGAACTCTTTCCCGTCGTTGGCACAAAGTCTCCGAAAACTACCATAGATTGGGCTTGTCAGATCATGAGTACCCTTCCACTTGCTCGTGCTGCCTGACCTTTCCGCCCCTGCTCCTTGCAGCTGCCATTTCCATCACGGCCGTCTCCCCTGCGTGGGTCAGCGCTGCGGGCGGCGACGTGGTGACCGTATCAGGGACCGGCCTGGTGGCGACGGGCGCGGCGTGGTGCCGCTTCACCGACATCTCCGCCGCCGGCACCACCGCCGACCCGGGCCTCGTCTCCGGCCCCAACGTCGCGCCCGCCGCGACCGCGCTTAGCATGGCGACCGTGAGCAGCGGCGGTAGCGTGTCGTGCAGTGTGCCGGCCATGGCGGGCGCGAGCCTGGTGGCGGTGGACGTGTCGCTCAACGGGCAGCAGTTCAGCGCGGAGCGGCTGCCGCTGCCGCTCGTGGCCGACTTCGCGCCGAGCGCCAGCAACAGCTCCTTCACCGTCGGGCCCGGCCAGGCCGTCGCCCTCGACACCGCCACCACCGCCAAGGTCGCCTTCGGGAACGCCACCTTCGCCGGCATCACGCAGGTGCGCCGCCGCGCAAGGACTTGCGTCGCGTTCTACCGCCAAGCAAGAGGCACCAAGCTTCAGTGCAAAAGCAACCTGGAAGTAAAACGGTACCGTCGAAGAGCCAGGCTGCAAGGTCGGTTTATTTCTCGCTTGCTGTGCCGTGCTTCCTTGTCCGCCGTGTTGACAGTCACGCTCTTCTGCGGCGTATGCAGGCCCCTCTCCACGGCTCTACGGCTGTGTCGGGCAGCGTGGTGCGCTACACTCCGGGCGCCAACTTCTTGGGCTCCGATTCCTTCACGTACTCCATCGCCGACGGCCGCGGCAGGACGGCCACGGCGGTCGTGAGCATCGCCGTGCTGCCGCCGCCGCCCCACTTCGCGGCCGTGCCCGCCAGCATCGTCGCGGACGAGGACGTGCAGTTCCCGGTCACCGGGTGAGCCACCGCCGCGCCGAGCCGCATCGCACGTGAGGGTGAACAGCCTGACAAGATTTGAGGTGCTGTTCTTGAGGTTTGACTTGCAGAAGCTTCCCTTTTCTAAGCTTAAGCTGGTTTGAGGCCCTGACTCTGGTGTGCGCTCGCGTGCAGGACGCTAGACGGCTTCGTGCTGCAGTACCTGGACCCTGCCGCGCCCCTCTCTGTGTCCGTCTCCGCTGCGCACGGCCTCTGCTCCCTGGCCCCCGCGCAGAGCGCTCTTTGGGCGGCCGCCGCCCTTCCCCCCGCGGCCGCTGCCGCCATGACCACCAAGGGCCCGCTCACCTTCAGCGGCACGGTGGCCACCATCAACTCCGCGCTCCAGGCCGTGCGCTGCACGGGGTGAGCCGACCAAAGGGCAGGCGTGCCCAGTAAGCGTGCGGATCAGCAGTGGAAGATCGAGGAAGACGTTGAAGCGTGGTGTTGCTTTGTTGCATCCACTGAGAGCGCTGCGTGCGCTATAATTACGGGTAGCGATCTCTATCCTCCCGTTTATCCACGTCTGAAGGGCTCTCTTGTGTTTCTCGATGCTCACGGGTTCTCGCGGCGGCTGCAATTGCAGGTCGCAGTACTTCAACGGCAACGACACGCTGACGGTCAGCGTGACCAACTCTGCCGGCGCGGGCGACTTTACGCTGGTGCCCATCTACGTGCGTGCGCGCAACAACCCGCCCTTCGCCACCGCGCCCTCCAGCGTGGCGATCAACGTGACGGGCTCCGGGGTCATCCCCGCGGCGGGCAGCGTCGGCCTGGCCAACGGCGCCGCCACGGGCGTGCGCATCCCGGGGGTCGCACTCGGGGACCCCGACAACGCGGACACCCGATGTGAGGAGCACTGCGCAGGAGCTGCCTGGCGTGCATGGAAAGTCAGAGGCAGGGGAGGCGTATAAGCATGTTTCTTTGGCAGTGGAAAGGGCAGTGTTGGACTGCACCCGTCAGCCAGGTCTCGGCTGCCGTCGTTGTGCCATACCACATCCAGATTGTCGCTCGCACCCCTGCTGCTGACCGCTCTCCGTGCTCTCCGCAGTGGATGGCCGCCGGTTGACGCTGTCGGTCACGCTGTCCGCTGCCAAGGGCACTCTCAGTGTGGACGTCACCAGCGACGTCCTCGTGACGGCTCCCGCCGATACGCCTGTTGCGGCCAGCGGCCTGACGCGCGTGCAGGGCGGCAGCCTGGCTTTCACCGCCACCGTGGCGGCGGCCAACGCGGCGCTGCTCACCCTCGTCTACGACCGGCAGCCCGTCAACGTGAGCCGCCCGCCGTAGCGACACGCCGCACGGCTGCCTGGCATGCTTGCTTGCATTCTCTTTTAATCAGGAGCTTGGCTCCGGGGTTCAAAGGAAGCACCGAGACCCTCTCAAATGGAGTTTGCCGTTGTTGACCGTGCTCGTGCTGTGTTCGTACGTGCAGGGCACGATGAGCAGTGCGGGCGACCTGGTGGTGGTGGCGGTGTCGGACGGCGGCAACTTTGGGTGCGAGCTGCTGTGCGGGGCCGGCGCGCCGCTGCCCATGGCCGCCACCGCCAGCATCGCCATCGTCGTCGCAGGGGCCTCCCCCGACCCCTACGACCCGCTCCAGCCCAGCAGTGAGGGCCCGCGCCACCTTTCGTTGCGTGGCCACAAAACGCCAGGCCTGCGACAAATTCCCCTGGCCCTTTCCAGCCTTCAACGTCGAGACCCATTGTTGAGTATAGCCTCTGTCAATTCCTGTCGTGGACAGGCGCTTCTGCGCGTGCCGTCCTGGCAGGTATTTGCCGCTGAAGCGTGGCTGCGTGTGTGCAGGCACGCCTGCGACGGTGCTGGCGGGGTCGCTGGGCGGGCTGGGCCTGATCGGGCTGGCCGTCATGGCCGCGGTGGGCGGCCTGGTGTACGTGGCCGTGCGGCGGCACCGCGCGGCGCTGGACGGCGCGGACGACGACGACGACCAGGCGTACGAGGCGGCGCGCGTGTACAATCCGCTCTGGGTGCCGTCCGCGGGGGGCGACCACGCGGCCGGCTTTGTGTCCACGCCCAACCCGCTGCTGCTGCGACAGAGGTCCGCCGAGCGAGAGCAGTGAGTCGCGCGCCGCACCCTGAACCTCCACTAATCAGTCGTACCGTTCTGCTCTATCAGCCTGTTAGAGCAAATCAAGGCTATGCGTTCAGCAGAGATGTGTTGGACGGATCTCCGCAAATATGATCATCTGGACCCTAAGCGCTCACTCTGTAATACCGTTTTCTCTCTTGCCCCCTTGTTTTCGTTCTCTGCTTACAAACTGCGTGCGCAGGTTGGCCGCCATCGACCGCGAGATTGCGCACCGGGCAGACGCCAGCAGCCGGGCTGCTAGCCGCGGAGGGCCGCGCGCCCCGCCGCCGGGAGTCAGACGAGGCAGTAATGGGGCCACGCCGGCCCAGAACCAATGACACAACCCCGCTCGGGAGAGCAGCCGCCGTTAGTATGACACACTACGATGCCGGACCAATTTGTTACCTTTTTAAGGTGGATACGCGCAAGCACGTACTGAATTCCGGGAGCAGGAACTCTACATTCTTTGCATTTTTTAGTACACAACATACTTGCCAGAAGCCTCATGTTTTATAGGAGCGAGTACTTCGCACAGATTCCTTTGAGCTTTTAAAAGAAAGGCCGGAGGGCTGGGTTCGGCCTCTGTCTCATTTAAAACATAATCAAACTATGCGTGAAGTTTGGCAGCTAGAGAGATATTGCACGTACATTCGAAGTAGGTCACCGAGTTTTTGTGGGTTTGGCCGGACAATCCATGAATCATTCTATGATAATCGCTGCTAGCTAGGCCCTGCTTGTGGTCCGTTGACAGGCCGGCTTCAGATACATAGGCTCATCATTCCACAGTTGAGCAAATGTCATTGTTGCGCGTTGATGCAATGCTTCGTGTGACTTCGTTCAGTTACTCCCGGTTGCTAAAGATAATCTGCGTTGCGCAGGCACGCGGCACAATATGCCAATATGATGCGATACTTTGATAGTAGTGCACTTCAAGGCTTGGATCGCGATCCAGCTCAAAGTTCGCGTCACAATATGTAGTTTGTCGAGTCCTCAGATTAGCACTTAGCAATACAACCAACGCGTTGTCCATCAAAATAATTGCATACATTACCAGATATATGCGGGCGCCGCCGTGGCACCATATGCATGCATTGATCGACGATCGGAACCCATCATTGGGATGCAATTGCGTAAAGAGCGATTGAATCATGGTCGCGCCGACAAGTACGCATGTTGGAAGGATATGGACAGACATGTTACATTACGTAATTATACACAAATTGGTAACTTAATTTTGCAGAGCATTGCATCTGAGCTCTGTCGAATAGCACCCTTGAGAGCTGACGTGGCATCGAATCGCTAATTGGGTCACATTCAGAAAATTACTCCCTCGCGTTTACTACATGAGCGACTTTTAGGGTTCGAGTGACCCTCAGATGCACAAGATATGCATGCGTTCTCACACAATACCGTCCAATCTATACAAATCAATGTACACAGCAAATTAGATCATGCCAGAGCTTCCTGAACAGACTGGTCTCACTTGCATGCGCTGGACCAATCGAAAGCAAGTGACAAGGTGTGGAAGGGTGTAGAAGGTTTTTCACAAAGAGGTTCGGCGTTGAGGTCCCTTCACGCATGTGTTGCAGCTGCACCTCAAGGCAGGCAAGCAGAAACTTCGTTTGTTCCTTCTTACAGCCTCATGAGCAGCCGGACATCGTTCTCTCGTGTTTGTCTCTGCACACGAAACACGCTGCAGTTTGAGAACGGCCGAAAAAAATCGAAGAGCGGCCACAGAAACGAGTGTCGCTCAAAATAGTATCTAGCGGGCACTGCAGGGACTGCCATTAGACATAATGGTTGCAATTAAAGCCCTTTTGTGCAGCTGCGTCAGGAAAAGCTGCGTCTCAACGGTCACAGGGTAGTTCGATCGACCCGCCCTTCATCAATCTGTCAAGCGATGCGTGGGCTTGCAGAGGTGGCGTCCGGTGCCCGTACCTGTTGGGCGGAGGTCTGATGAGAAAACGCCGCCGTGGCGAGTGCGCGCTTCCGCTCCTGCAGCTGCACCCCGCGGCACCAGCCCCGGTCAGGGCAAGCCGGCGGAAGGCGGCCAGACGGGCGCGCCAAGGAAGGCCGCTCTCGAATGCTTGAGCACTGGGCCTCTTAAGCGCTTTCAACAGCTGAAGCGGTGACAGAAGCACGATCTGTGCTTTACTAGAAGGGCACGCTCCCTTTGGCTCTGCTGCTCGACCGTTGTGCGCATGTGGGTGGGGGTAGCCTTACCTCGAGGATGCGCTCCTCGATGGAGTCGGTGACGACGAAGCGCGTCACGTGCACGTCGCGGGTCTGGCCCAGCCGGTGGACGCGGTCGTGCGCTGCAGCACGCACCAGACGGGCCGCCTCAGGCAGGCACGCGCAGCGAGGCGAAGGCGGGGCGGTGGAACCAAAATGCACTAGAGCAGCGGTCAATGGCACTTAGCGAGACAGCGTCGGCCTACCTTGCTCCTCGGTTGCCGGGTTCCACCTGCAAGAAAGTGGTGCTCGATTGGAGTTGCGTTTCCAGTTGTAAGCCCACATACACGTGCCCGAACCCGGCCCCAAAGCACAAGGGTCTCGCGGGTCCAGATACTTCCAGGAGGCGCTAGAGGCAACTGCAAGCGGGCCCGGGGGGCGGGGCGGGCGGGCGCTCACCAGGGGTCCATGAGGTACACGTGTGACGCCGCCACCAGGTTCAGGCCCACCCTGCAGCCCACACAGCAGCGCCCACACATCAGATCCTTCTTCTCGCAATCGCGTGATGCCTGCAGCAGCACCCCGCCCCTCGCACTGCAGGTCCAGCATGCGGGTCCGGGCTTGAGCAGGGTGGGTGTGCGAGCTCACCCCGCGGCCTTGAGGCTGAGCAGAAACACGGCGGGGCTGCGCGGGCCCTTCTGCTTGAATGCCTCCATAGCCGCCTCGCGCTGCCGCGCCGACATGCTGCACACGCACAGCACACCGCCCGTCATCCCGTGCGGACAGACGTGCCCGCCAGGGAGCACGCGGCACTGCGCGATGCCAAACAACCTACGGGCATCGCGCACCAGCCAGCACAGCTTGCGGCTGCTGCTGGGCGGCAAGCGGAGAGTGCGACGGCGACGCACGCGCACCTGCCGTCGAGGCGGACGAAGGCGAAGCCGGCGCGGGTGAGGGGCTCCTCGAGCAGGGTGAGCATCTTGGTGAACTGCGAGAACACCACCGACTTCACGCCCGGCTCCGCCGCACGCGCCGCGCGCAAGCAGTCCAGCAGAGCCGTCACCTGCACGACGTGAATGGAGGGGGGAAACGCCCGAGAAACTTCGTCAAAACCCAAAAAGAAAGAGCTAAACCTTGAGGGTTAGACCACCTTCCAAGCTTGGTCAATATGTATTGCCTCTTCGCACGGTAACCAAGCAAAATCTGTTCCAGATTGTGCAGACCGCCGCCGTTGCTGTGTGCTCACCTTGGCGCTGGGGGCCACGGCGGGTGGTGGTGCGGGGCCTGGCTGGTCCGCGGCGGCGTCGTCCTCGGGGGGCGCCTCCAGCAGGTCGGCGGGGGCCACGGCCGCGCGGCACAGGGGGCACTGCGCCTTGTCGCGCACCAGGGACATCTCGATGCACCTGCAGCGGCAAAGTCGCGGGCCAAGTGTGGGAACTCGGAAAGTACACCTCCCGCCAAGCTCTCATCCCCTTTCACCAACGCAGACGTATGGTTCAATGCTGCTTGTTCCTGCTAGCAGCAAGATGTCGGGGTCAGTCTCGCTGCTTATCTGGCCAGGTAATCGGTCGCAAGCTTTTGAAGGCAGTCAAGTGCACCAAGAGACATTTGGGAGCGGGCGGGGCCGACCTGCGGCAGAACACGTGTGCGCAGCGTGTGATGACCGCGGCCGTTGGCGGGCAGAGGCAGATGGGGCAGTCGTCCTCGCCGCCCTCCCGCAGAATGCCGATCAGCTTCGCCACCAGCTCCGGGCTGCGCACACGACGCCCAGCTCCAGCTTTTCAGTACGGACGCCGAGCGGCTCATTCGTGTCGTTGCCGGGAAGGCCGTGTCTGACACAACACCAGGGGCGAATCGAAACAGGGTCGGGCAAGCATGCTGTGTCCCAGAATCGACAAGCGAATGTAAAACGTGGCAGGCCTAGCCAGGCCTTCGTAGTGCGGCTGCCTGCCTGGGTCGCTCACCTGGGCGCTGGGGCCGCACCCTGGGCTGGGGCAGCCAGGAACTCGACAGCGTGGGCAGGGCACAGAGAGGTGTGGTCTAGACAAACAAGCAAGCGTGAGTGTCAGACTTCGGTTTAAGGAAAGCAAGCATTTTGCTAGGACCAGCGTCATACACCGAAGTTTTTCGATCTGCGAACAAACCGCTTTCAAAACATTACCGGATTCAGTGCAAAGGCGTGGATACGAGACAGACTCTTCACATCGTGCAGAATATGGATAGCTTCATCCGAGGTGTTTTCGAATGTGTGGATATGACAGCTGGGCCTCACCGCAGATCTGGCGGAGGCGCGTGATGAGGCATAGAATCTGCAGCCATCCGAAGCCAAGAGGGCCGCTTCAAGCGCTCGCAATTCAGGGGCGCACCAAGAGCGTACACAGCAAAGGGCCAAGAAGCATCCGACACAGGCGAAGTCGGGTAATTGCAAGTTGAGCAACGTGCATGAAACAGAATGATCCCTTCAGACTTGCTGGGCGGCTGCGGCCGACGGAGGTGTGGCGCGCGGTCTCACCGCGGCGTAGTTGTGCATGAGCGTGCCGGCCTGCAGGAACCCGCTGACGAGCTGCCGCCCTTGCAGCTCCACCCGCTCGTACAGCGCGCGCTCCTCGGGGGACAGCTCCACCGCCTGCCACACAATGCGGCCGCGGCGTCACCGCAGGTCGTGAGCAAACGCGCATGAAAGCTTGGGCATATCCAGACCCGACACCGCGGTGTGCACACTCCAGCGCTTCAGAGCGACTGCAGGCCAGCACTCGGCCCCTTGCCCCGGCTCCTCGTTGTGCTTGACGGTCTGGTTGCACGCTCACCTGGACGGCGATGGTCTTGCGAGGCAGGTCGACGATCGGCCGGCCGTTGGCGCGCGTCTCCTTGGTTCTTCGCAGCGCGCAGTTCGTCAGGAGCGCGCGCAGGCGGGGCAGCCCCCGCGGGTCGCCGGCCTTGATGGGCCGCTCCACCACGCGGTTCCAAAACGACTTGTCGCTCAGCGGCTCCAGCCTGCACACCCCAGATAGGCCAGGTGAGAGTGGTCTCGGGGGCTCCGCACGCAGGGCAGGTACTGGTAGATCGCTTGCGGACATCGAAGACATCGGCGAGGACTTTGCAGGCTCATCCTCAACCGACGAGGCGCATCCATGGCAATAAGCTTCCAGGCTAAGGGTCCGCGTCGTGGGTGCTCACTTGAGGAAGGCGATGATGCTGTACAGGTCGGCCAGGCGGTTCTGGATGGGGGTGCCGGTGAGAGCCCAGCGCGCGTACGCAGAGAGCGCCAGCACAGCTGCAGAAAAAACACGCTGAGAGCTTCTGGCAGGACTTAGTGAGGCAGGGCACAGGGCCACAAAACAAGTTTGCATCATGAAGCTTGGAACAGACAGTTGAAAGAGGCTCGACCCCAAGCATGCAGAAAGGAGAGGAGCGTCTTGAGGCCTAGACAGATGAAGATCTACGGCTTGCCTTTCGTCTGCTTCGCGCTCGGATTCTTGACAACGTGCGCTTCTGCAAGGAGGCGAGCCGATGCTTTGAAGAGTAAATTCAGCCAGGGTGCTTCAGCGGCCAAGATGTATGTCAGCAAGAAGCAAACAGACGCAGCCAGCAAAACGTAGCGGAGGTCTGTTCAAGGCGGTCTAGAAAGTAGCTGCAGATGTGCCCGCGATCAACCCTCAAAGGCGAACGGTTACAATGTTGATGTCTCGGTGTGTCTGACCATCCAGGATGCACCTCAGCCACTGCACGCGCTGCAGGGGCGAGCTGGACCCTTCTGACGCCAACGTGCTGCACAGACGAAACAATATCAGCGTGTGAGCCAGGCAGTGCGATGCCACGCACAGCGCGTGCACCCACTCGTGCTGCACCGCACGAGATGGGAGCCAGGCCACACATCCCTGCTGCACCACAACCGATATGAGCCAAGAAGGGTCCAAGGCCGGTGATAACTTCACCTGTAGGTGGTGATGACGACATCGAAGTTGTCCAGGAACGTCGCGTCACGCACGCGCTCGGAGCCGTAGTACTGGTAGCTGCGCCAGAAAGGGGTGGCACCGCGTGTCAGCCAGGACGGGAGGACGGAAACAGAGCGACGCAACAGTGGACGAGGCCAAGCGCAGCAGCGTGTCGGCTCCGGTGTGATGCGGGGCAGGGGAACTCACACGCTGAGCTGGCCTCCGGCGTGCTCCTGGATCTGGTTCGCCCACTTGGACATCACCTGCAGCCAGGGGCCACACGCGTCACCCTGCAACCGAGCCGATCCAGCACATGTTGCCTTCCCGCACAACCAGGAACAGACCTGGCGATCCAGAAAGATGAACAGAAGGTGGGAGGGGCACTTCCGAGCAAGGGCCCAACGGAAGAGAGGCCGGCGCAGTGGCTGTACCGAGAGAGGGCAGACGATGAGCGTGCTGCGTGGCCCGGTGGCCGGCGGGGGAGTGGCGGGGGGGACGTCCTCCGGGGCCTCGCCCACCTTGGCCTTGCCCTTGCCACCAGGCGCAGCAGTGGCCTGCAACGGGGGAGGCGAGGAGGGGGGGCTTAAGAGGCCGCTAATTCAGGACGAGAGGTTTGCAGAATCGGGAGGGTTCGATAGCAAAAGTATCTGGCGGTCACTACAGGCCGGAGACCAAGGAAGCGATGCTCCTGCCATCGCATTTTCGCGACGTGGGCCTTGCCTTTCCGTCCTTCCCCTTGCGTCGCTTGGCCGGCGGCTCGCCCGCAGTGTCGTCGTGCGGAAGCTGGGTCATTTGGAGCAGGGCTGCGCCGGCGCAGTTGGTGGCGATGAGCGCGATGGCCGTCAGCGTCTTGCCCAGGCCCATGTCGTCCGCCAGCAAGCCGCCGCGCACCGCAGCAGGGCGCCGCACTGTAGACCACGAGAAGAGGGCGGGACGCAGCCTGATCAACCAGGACGGAGAAGCGGAAGCCTCTGTCTTGATGGCTTTGACGATAGCCCAAAATCGTACTGACCTTGATTGAATCTCAGCCAAGGAATAGTACGGGGCGTCTTCTCAGAAAACGCCTGACCGAGGGTGCTAAGGTAGTCCGCGACTACCCACGAGGGCTGGAACAAAGTCAACGGCAGCTCGACGCACTCCAGGTCTGGCGAAGGGAGCATCAGCTCGCACAGTCTGCCCTGTCTGCCTGCCTGAATGAGATTTGGGTGGCCTCGTACCTGTGGTGAAGTTGGTGAGGCTGTTTTTGTAGGTGATGTCCGCGGTGCCGCGCGCCTTCTTGGTCTCCCAGAAGGGCGGCAGCCGGTTCGAGTTCTCGCGGAGCAGCATCCAGCAGAGGGCCGTCAGCTGGTGCGGGTACAGCGCCGTCGTGACCCCAGCAGGCTGCTCCATCGTCAAGTTCTTCTCCTCGCCTTGAGCCAACGACTGCAAGCGTCAACCGAGCCGTAATTAGTATCTATTCTGCCGAGAGCTCCCCTGCAAAAATGTGCTTCCTTCGTGGTTGTTCTGTTGACATTTTCAGCCGATTAGAACAGGAACTGTGCTTGAACTTCGTCAGGTAAGACTGCAAAGAACTTTGAGGTCTAAACATTTGAAAAATACCAAAGAAAACACGTAGGCACTGAATCTCCAACCACCGTTCGTCGAGGGGGAAAATATAGGCAAGGTTAAGAACTTACACACCTGGTTATAAAGCGATTCCGCGGAGTGGAGCGGATTGTCATCATCCTCGCCGAGCTTGTTGACTAATCATTAGTCCAAACGGACTGAACTTGATTAATCAGAGCGCTCTATGATCTTGTCTCAAAAACACGGACAAAAGGTACGCTCACAGAGGAAGCCTCTTTCCGTCTCGGGCAATCTCCTTCTGCATCTTAATAACTAAAATGAAAACAGACACGTCCACAGCATGAGCAAGTGGTACGGGCCGCACCTCGAAGAGACTCTCCAGTGCCGCTTCCTGCTCCGCCACGGATGTGCTCCCAGAGACGCCAGGGCCGGCGCCCCCGGCTGCCCCAGCACTGCCTTCGCAGGGCGTCAACACCATGCCTGGGACACCGCAAGAAACAGCCTCTTAGGGGAACAGGCAAGCGCTTGCAACCTCAATCAAAAGTTCATCAGACAGGCAATGAATGTCAACCTGCAGGGATGGACAAATTGATATCGAGGTATAAGCTGGGAATCGCGCAGGGCCCCTTGGCCTCGAATCGGGGCCGAATCTCGCTCCATTTAAGCGGCGGGCCAAACCGAGCTAGGTCCCGGTGCGGCGCAAATAACAAGAGTCGGTCCATTACGACAATCACGTACTGTTCTTGTGAATTGGTCTCAAACCGTTGGGGCCTAACTGCAATGAGTCCGCCACTGTCCTGAGTGAGATGCTCCAAGTGGGCCCCATTCGGCTCAGGTTATCATCCAAGGCGCCACGTTTTGGTTTCACGGCCAGACGGCCACAACTTCTGACACTTCTCCTAGTGTGCGAGGAAGTGGGCTCACCCCCGGCACTCAGAGCACGCCGCACTTGGCTGGCGTCCTCCGCTGTGGCGTACACCATGACGTGGCAGGGCATCTTGTACATGTTCTTGGAACCGCGCGGGATGAGCCCCTCCACCCGAATCAGCCCCGCGTCAAGGAGCGGCGACAGGTGGCACGCCTTGTAGCGCTCAACGTGGCCAATCTGCAGAAGGGGGAATGCGTACAACTGTGGACACAGTCCCTGTTCAGAAGATTGTCAAGATACCAGACAGCTAAATCAAAGCCAATCTAACAACTGTTACAAGTTCTGAGTCTCGTAAAGTCACATCTGTTTCTGCATAGAAGGGCGCAATCAATTGTGCAATGGAGGAAGAAGTGTCAAATACGTTCGGTGGTCACCTGCTGGTGAGCCGCGTTGTCTACTCTGATGGCGAAACGATCATATGCATTGTTTGGTTCCCGCGTGAGTAGCACCATCTCCTGCATATCAGGAATGTCACCAGAATTGGTCATACACACACATCTCGGTCAGGTTCTTCAACACTCAAGGGAAGGGGCATTTTGAGCTTGGTAAGGCACCATGGTTGCGGAGTCATAACACGTCCCTCGACATTGAGTCTGACACCAGTATCTCCAGCCTTTCTGCCCCAACCATAGACTATGATCTGGACCAGATATTAGAAGCACGAGCGTAGCATGAGAGATGGGGAGCTTGAAATGAACCCCATTGGCTTATTCCGAAGATGGTGATTGGCTCAACCGATATCTAGGAGAAACAGGTGTGGTTGAAAAGAAGTCGATCAACTTTGAAACTGAAGGTTGCCAGTTGACTTCTGACTAGCCCAGAATGATACCATGCCTTATCGTACTCAAGGGAGTGGTGGTGGTCGAGGGCCCCTGTTCATATGTAAACCTCCCTCTCTGAGTACTACTAACCACCAACTGAACAAATTGAGGGGCACCCTGGTTGTAGCATGCAGGTATGTTATTGAAAACATTTCCAGTAGCAGACTTGGAAGTCGGAGAGTAACGTTAAGGAGATGGGGAAACTTAGACCGAAGGAGTGGCATACCTTGTCGCTGACGATGCCATTGTAGTACCTGTAGGGCAAGGCACCTTGGTCAAAGAGCCTCTTGCTGAAACTCCAAAGGACACTGAGCTATGTCATCGCTGTCAGGACTTCAGGGAACCAGCTGCTTGAAGACAGAAAGAAGAAACTCTCAAAGGCAGCATCGATCACAAAACTGAAAGTCCTGAACGGTGTGCTCACTGGAGGCCAACAACTGAAACTGTCGTGATGCCCAGGCACTGTGGGCCGTTCTCATTCTCGTCCTCTGCACAAGGAGGTTGCAGGCCTGGATCAGCGCTACAGCTTGCAGCAGAAGACCGCATCATAACAAGCATCATTGTCCAGTACTTCAAAGCTTGCAGCCAATCGACGCACACATTGTGCAGCACGAGCTGCGCCTCACCTTCCTCGCTCTCCTCGTCAGCATCCTGCTGATGGTGCTGCTGCTGGTATACGCGAGCAGCTCCGGCATTGCGCCTCATGGTGGCGCGGACAGCCAAGTAGGGCAGCGGCAGGGCTGCAAGGTCCAGGGGATACGGGGCCAAAAGAGGCTCAAAAGGTACACCACTCTCAATGACCGCCTCTCGCCCAGACTCTAGCTGCTCATGTGCTGCTAACCACTTTGCTTTCTTCTGGAGGCACAGGGATGGCCCAGGCCCAGGGATCCAGTACGAATGGATCTCTCACTTCACGAGGAGTCAGTGTAAAGTGTCCTTTTACAACACGATCGGACGGTGACAAACACATGTTTTGGTGATGCATCTATCTCTGACCGTCCGGTGTCCGGAAGCTGCTCCAAAGTGAGTTTTCGCACTACTCCTTTTCGCACTACTCCTGCTCTAGTACCAGTGCTTTCTGGCGTGCGCTGTTGCTACAATGCTCGTGGGGCCAGTTCTGCCTTGTAGTCCCATGACAGGGTCCTTTGATGTTGCTCAATGATACTGCTGCAAATAACAAAACCCTTTGAAACTAAGCAATCACTTGGCGGCCATGGGCAAGAAAGGGCTGGCTCTTGAAGAGGCCCCGGTCTTCTACCCAACAGAGGAGGAATTCCAGAATGCGCTGCGCTACATCTCTTCTATTAGAGAGCAGGCAGAGCCGTACGGCCTGTGCCGCATCGTGCCGCCAGCGAACTGGCAGCCCCCCTTTGCTCTGCCCGAGGACTGGCGGTTCCAGACCAAGGTGCAGAAGGTGCACCACCTGCAGGAGCGCCAGGGTGAGCCCACCTGCTGCGTTGGGGCATACGCGAAGCAGCTCAGGATTTGTCCAGCAGGATTGAGCTGCCATTGCAAGTTTATCTTCAACTAGCCCTCTTCGCTTTACGGTCCCTCTTCATAGCTTGACATCTGATGGTGTTAGAAGGATTGGGCAAAGAGGTGAGTGGTTGAGTTGTCCTGCTCCCTACTTTGCAACCAGGTTTCTTATGTTGCTACAGAGAAGCCCGACGCAGCGCTGATGCTTCTGAGTTTTACTTGGGCAGGGGGCTTTGACTCGCACACATGGCGCATGGAGTATGAGCGGTTCCTGCGCAAGACAGGGCGCGTGCTGGGGCGCTGGCCGCTGTACGCGGGGGAGGAGCTGGACCTGTGCAAGCTGTACAACGCGGTCAAGCGCCACGGCTCCCTCGAGGGCGTCAGCGCCGACAGGAAGTGGCCCGCCATCGCGCGCCTCATGCGCAGTGATGGGGCAGCCGAGCAGTCACCCAACGCGGGGGCAATTCTGCGGCACCTGTACCAGAAGCACCTGCTGGCATATGAGGCCTGGGAGCGAGACCCCGCGCGCCATGTCCACTCTGGGGGAGACAGTTCCACGGATGATGAGGGGCAGGACATGAAGCAGGCACCGCGGGGGGGCAAGGGGCGGGGGCCTGCGCAGCTGGGCGCATCCGAGATGGAGGTGGCGGCTGCTTTCTTGGAGCTGGGAACTGCCAAGGTGGGGCGGGGGGGAGGAGGCGGGTCGGGAAGGGGGCTGGCAGCGGCTGTGGAGGTGGAGACGAGGCAGGACCAGCGGTGTCAAGCATGCGAGGGGCCCGGGCATGAGGAGAAGATGATACTGTAAGCCAGCAGGCAGTGTGGCAGCATGCTTTCAGGGATTCTTCCCTTCTTCGCCATGTGCCACAAGGACAAACGAATCTGATGGAATCATATTTATAGAGCCCGAATTGAGTTTGTTAGCTGCCTAGCAGTCTCTCACGAAGTTCAATGTACAATCTGGTTGTCAAATTCTGTTGGCAAATGCTGTCATGGGCTGTAGGCTTTCCTGTCCGTACAGTATCCAATATTCCCATCGGGATTGCGAGTATTTGGCTGAGAAACGCCTTCACTACTACCGCAGCCACGCTTGGCTGCCTCAGCTTCAGCCGCAAGGTGCATTGTGCCGCCGTGCTGGGCCTCCTGCTTTGTGGGCGTGCTCAGCCCCCTGTTGCTTTTGCAGGTGTGACCGCTGTGACTCTGGCTGGCACATCCACTGTTTGAGTCCCCCTCTGCCGGCTGTGCCGCCAGGGAACTGGTACTGCCCGCGCTGCGTCACCTCCGAAGATGCGTTTGGCTTTGAGGAAGGCACCGAGTTCACCCTGGTAGGCCAAACCCCTTTCCTACCAGATAGGCGCTGGAAGGAGCGTAGATCGGGAAAGGTCTTCCATCAACAAAAGGACGCTTCTTTGATTGAAGATGGAACCGCTTAATACCGAAAACCATGTCAGTCAGCTTTCAACCTGGGCTTGAATATTCGCCCCTTGTTTCGGCCCTCATAAAGAGGAAATCTTTGTGGCCTTTTTCAGGAAGAGTTCCAGAAATATGCAAACCGATTCAAGCGCAAGTGGTTTGGTGCGGAGCGCGTGAAGGGCGTACTGCTGGAGGATATTGAAGCTGAGTTCTGGCGCACAGTGGAGCAGTCCAAGCAGCCGGTGGAGGTCCTCTACGGCAGCGACCTCGACGCCTCCATCTACGGTGAGCCCCAATCAAGCGAGGCCTGCTCTTTTCTGGCCTCTCCCTAACTTGGACTGGGCCAGTGCATTTCTCGCCATGCGATGTGATGTGCGCCTGCGAGCAATGACCTTTGTGCACGCGTGTTCCAGGGAGCGGCTTCCCGCGCATGGGCCATGCACGGGGCAAGGTGGCGGCAGTGGCGTGGGAGGCGTACGCCAGGTCGAGCTGGAACCTGAACAACATGCCGCGGGATGACGCCTCCGTGCTCAACCGCATCGACGACCAGATCCCCGGAGTCATGGTGCCCTGGCTGTGAGGCCCTTGAACCAGTCTATCCGGTGTTGCCAAAATATTCGGCGATGGCGCAGCTTGCATCAGTGTCCTTGCGTTCAGTTTTGCACTGCAACTGGGGCCTCACTGTTGGTGACTGCTCCTCGCAGGTATATTGGGATGATGTTCTCCAGCTTCTGCTGGCACTACGAAGACCACTGCCTCTACTCCATCAACTACTGCCACTGGTGCGCCCCGACCACAGCCAGTGGTCCAAGCCTGCAAAGTTGTATCCTCACTGAAGCCGTAATGCTAGCCCCACTGAGCTTAGCCTCCTTTGAAGTGTTTGTGACGGTTTCTATTCGGCCTACAAAGATTTCAGACAGCCTGACTCATCCTTGATTGCTCCCATTTCTCGCAACCTTGTAATCTCGGCTGTGATTTTGTCTGCCTTCTTGGTGCAGGGGGGAGCCCAAGAAGTGGTATGGCGTCCCTGGGTCGTGTGCTTCCGAGTTTGAGGAGGTGGGCATTGACGCGCTCCCCCTTGCCGCCTCCATCCCTCCTCCCTTTCTGCCTCCAGTCCTTGTTGCCCTGTCTGCCTATGTGTGCGAGTTAGGAGCTAGGTCCACGTGCTGACAAAGCCCTACGGTGCGTGGGGGGACAGGTGATGCAGCGCAGCTTCCCCGACATGTTTGCGGCGCAGCCGGACCTCCTCTTCCAGCTGGTTACCATGCTGAACCCGGCCGTCCTGCGCAAGCACGGCGTGCCCGTCTACACCACGCTCCAGGCAAGCCGCAAATGCATGTAGAAGCAATTCGGCAAGTAGCCTTTTTGTCCTCTGGTGAGGACATCACCCTCCTCTTGGTAGGAGTGTTTGGCTTTGTGACAGACTCTGCGTCCATGCATGTGCCGCCTGGCTTTGTGTGGATCGTTGAATCTTGTCGTACACCGCAGAACCCTCGCGAGTTCGTCATCACCTTCCCACGCTCCTACCATGGCGGCTTCAACACTGGTGAGTCCACGCACTACAGCCCACAGCCCCTGCAAAAGAGCATGCCATGTGGCATTGTTTTTCTTGTCACCTTGTTTTCCGTCATCGTTGAGGCCTGCCACTTCACAGTTCTCGCTTAGTGAAATCTTGGGCTGAGGCCTGGCCTGTGCTCGCGTAGGGTTCAACTGTGCGGAGGCAGTCAACTTCGCCCCTGCGGACTGGCTGCCGTGGGGTGGGGTGGGCGTGGAGCGGTACCGCGCGTACCACCGGCGGGCCATCATCTCCCACGACCACCTCCTGCGCGTGGTCGCCAAGGTCAGGCCCTGCCCCGACTGCGGCCCATCATCTGTGCACGACGAAGCTGGCGAGCCCAAAGGCAATCCTGGCAGGCAGGCAGGGCAGCACGTCGAGATGGGCGGGCTGTCTTTCTGGTTGCGATTCTGTCCCCGTGTCCAAGCCTCCTGCCCACGCCCTCTCTTTTGCGCAGGGCCTGCCTTCTTCCTCTGGCGGAGGCGATGGGAAGGCTGCGTCGGAGGTGGCGGCGGCGCGGCGGTGGGTGTACAACGAGCTGCTGCGCGTGCTGGCCAGCGAGCGCGCACAACGGGAGGCCCTCTGGCTGGACGGCACCACCGCCTCCATGCGCATCCCGCCACACACCAAGGACGACAGGATCGGCGAGGAAGAGGTCAGCGCCGCACCTCGTGGCCCCACGTCACGCTCTTGTCCTGCCTCCTACTGGCTATTGCGCCCCTGCTCGCTCCTTACCATCCATATCACTTCGTTGTAATTTCTGGGCTCTGCCGCTCGGGCTTGCTGCTGAAACCGCGCACGCGTTTTGTGGTGGTGGCAGGACCCGGAGTGCCTCATCTGCAAGTACTACCTGCACCTGTCCGCTGTTGTGTGCACCTGCCGCCCCGGCAAGCTGGCCTGCCTCAAGGTGAGCCCGAACCCCTGGAGCCACTGGAATGGCCCGTCGGTGGTGGCCATGCTCTGCCACTGAGCCTGCTCTCCTGCACCATGGGCATCAACGTCAACAAATGCAGTACGAGTGCAGCCAACGTTGCCGGAGCACGACTAGCCCTGATGCATGTCTGTTGTGGTTTGCAGCATGCGCGCGAGCTGTGTGAGTGCCAGCAGGCCAGTGAGCGCAGCCTGCTGTACCGCTACTCGCTGGCCGACCTCGAGGACCTGCTCGCGCGGGTCGCCCCGCCCCCGTCCTCCCCCGACCTGGAGCGCCCGGAGACCGCCCCCCCCCAGCGACCTCCTGGCGCACGCGGTGGACGACAGCCCTGCCAGCACAGCGCTGCGGCGGCGCGCCATCATGCGGCAAACCCGGTCGCCAGGGCCAGCAGCGGAGGGGGCCGTCGTGAAGCAGGAGGTGGGCACCAAGAGGGTGAGCACGCCAAGGGGAGCTCTGCCCGGCCATCGACTGGTGGACGGGAGGCAGCTCATCGGAACAGGAGGTATCCACAAAAGCGTGTGGATTGCTGTTGCGCCCACTTTCCGGTTGTTGCCGCAACACCTTCTCCCTCTCTACTTATCCTGTTTTGGCGTGCGTGTCGCAGGTGCATGGCCGCAGTGCGAGCCATGCGGAGCTGGCGTTCTCGTGGGCGGCCCAGACGCGCAGCACGCTACAGCAGCGGCCCAGCTTGGAGCAGGTGGCCACCCTGCTGCAGGAGGCCGACGAGTTCCTCTGGGGGGGCCACGAAGTGGACCCCGTGAGCACTGCACAGCCACCGACCCCCAACCTCGCGTGTCGACGAATGCCTTCGCAACTTCCTTCTGGTCTCTCTATTCAGTCTTTGACGTTGTGTGCCCTGTTTTCCTTTCTTGTCTACCGCGGCAAGCCAAGCGGGGTGGTGAGCGCGGCCGTCTTGCCTTGCGGTGCAGGTGCGCGACGTGGTCGCCCGCTGCGTGGAGGTGCAGGAGTGGGCTGCGGAGCTGACGGCGGTGGCCGGCAGCGCTGCCCGGCGTGTGGCCCTCTCGCGCCTGCAGGAGGCGGCCCGCCGCAGCACCTCGGCGCCACAAGTGGCGGGGCATGCCCACCTGGTGCGCGCACTCGAGGAGCGCCTGCGCCGCGCCACTGCCATGGCCGCCAAGATGGACACCGCCATGCAGGCGGGCGCCGCTGCGCCGCTGGAAGCTAGGCAGGCCCAGGTGCGTAGCGCATAGCCGCTTTTCGTGACTCCGGGGGCTTCGGATCGCCCCATCTAGCTAGGCGGGGCCGCCTCCATGCTCGACCTTTTGGGTGCTTCCACTGCCAAGGCGTGTGCTCGCAAGCGGCTGTTGGTGATCGGGCGTGGTTGTTTCTGTCCGCTGGCAGGCGTTGCTGCGCGAGGCGGAGTCCGTCCCGGTGGTGCTCCCCCAGGCGGCGGCCATGCGGCGCTTGCTGCAGGCGGCGCACGCTTGGGTGGACGAGATGCGCCGCGTGCTGGGGCGCGGGTCCGTGTCGCGGCGGCGCGCCGCAGGGGAACTCCCCGACAGCGACTACCTGGGCAGCCTGCTCAAGCAGGGGCTGCGCCTCGCGGTGCGGCCCCCAGAAGTGGCCACCCTGGAGGCGCTCGTGGGCCGCGTGCGCCAGTGGGAGGCCACCGCGCGCCAGCTGCATGCGCACACGGGGCCGCTCAAGGTGAGAACGGCGACATCTGGGGAGCAGACGCTGTCGCTGGCTGGGGTCTGGGTGGAACACGCCTGCTGACCAACTAAGGCTCAGGACCCGCGGGCTCGTCAGGGTTGCCTCGTCAGTGTGGCCCCTCGGTTGATTCTTCAGGTGGCTGACGACCCGGGTGGGGCGGGTGCAGGTACTGCAGACGTGCTTGCGTGAAGCGGAGCAGCTCCCCGCGCATGTGCACGAGATGGACAGCCTGGCGGGCCGCGTGCTGACTGCCGAGGAGTGGCAGCGCCGCGCGCGCAAGGGCCTCGCCCCCGAGGGCCCTCCCCTGGCCGACGAGGCCGTGGCTCCTGCGGATCGAGCTGCGCGGCTGCGCCTCCTGCGGGGCCTGCTCACAGAGGGCAGCGGCCTCAACCTAGAAAGTGAGGAACGCCAAGCATTGCACTCTTAGAGATGATCCAGCAGCGAGCAGGCCAGATGCCGAGAGTGCGCAGTGCACACCGATGCCGTCGACTCCATCGAGCTTGAGCTGTGTCCGAGTTTCGGCGCCTTACGGCCTGCTTTGCCTGACGTTGTGTGCAGTGGAGGAGCTGCCCCTGCTGGCTGCGGAGGTGCAGCGGCAGACGTGGCTGGAGGGGGCTTGCCGCGCCCTGGCGGAGCCCCCCACGTTGCAGCACCTCGCGCACATCGTGCAAGAAGGGGACAGGTCAGGCACTGCTCTCCGCCATCGTGCCCCTCTCGCCTGCCACTTTTTCGACGAGGCTTTTAGTGGCCAGCTCGACCGTCCCTCTCCTTTTTGCTTGGCCCTGACAACATTGTGCGTTGTGTTGCAGGCTGGGCGTGGGGGGCAGTGTGCTGGCGCGGCTGTCCGCCCTGGCGGGGCTGGCGGCGGAGTGGGAGGGGCAGGCGGCGGCGCTGCTGGCGCGGCGGGGCTCCGTGGACGAGCTTGCCGCGCTGCAGCGAGTCGCCGAGGGCATCCCTGCGCGGCTGCCGTCGCTGAAGCAGGTCACCGCAGCGCAGGCTGCGGCGCGCGCCTGGGGGGAGCGAGCACACCCGTACCTGCGCAGCAAACAGAGCCGCCGGCACACCAAGGGGGCCGCCGGCAAGGCCGCCCTTCTGCAGGTAAGCATGGGATCGCCGGGGTGCTCTGGATAGATCTCGCCAATCGTAGATCTCGCCAATGGTAGAGCTCGCCAATCGTGTACCATCTCAAAAGGTTGCTGTTTTGTGCTGGAGTCCTGCGTGGCAGCCCCTCGCTTCCTCCACCCGTTTTGGCGCCTGTCTGACCTGTTTGCGCGCGGTGTGCCAGGTGGCGGAGCTGGAGGCGCTGGTGGCGGAGGGCGCTGTGCTGGCGGTGTCCCTCAAGGAGGCGGACGTGCTGGCGGCGCGCCTGGCGGAGGTGGCGGCCTGGCGCGAGAGGGCGGCCGCGCTGGTGGCAGCGGGGGCGGGCGCGGCGGAGGCGGCGGTGGCGGTGCTGGTGGCGGATGGGGAGGCCATGGGGCTGGACCTGAGCCCGCACATGGAGCAGCTGCACGCGCGCGCGGCAGCCATCGACTGGGAGCGCCGCGCCAAGCAGGTGACTCCTGATCCCGCATAACTGTCCGCCTGGCTGATGCAAGTTGTTGCTGCCTCGCGCCGCGATGCTGCTCGTTTGTGGCGGTGTTCCCGTGTGACAGTCCGCTCTGGCGGTGGCGCAGGCGCTGGCGGTGCGGCAGGAGCTGGCAGCGGTGGCGGCGCTGTTGCGCGAGGCGCGGCCGCTGGACGTGGATGGCGGGCTGCTGGGCGCAGTGGAGACAGCGGTGGAGGCAGGCCAGGTGTGGGGCGCCAGCGTGGAGGCGCTGCTGCGAGGCGGCGCGCGGGACAAGGGCCGCCTGGAGGACCTGGAGGCGCTGGAGGCGGCGGGGCGCAGCCTGCCCGTGCTGCTGCCCGACCTGTACCGCCAGCTGGAGCACCTCCTTGCGCACCAAAGGTCAGCGAGGGGCCCGCAAACGGAACAGCCAGCGGGGACGATTGTGCTGCCCGATCTGCAGTGGCCGGGCAGTATCTGGTGGTGTCCTGCCTTTGCTGTCGCGCGTTTTCCTGCGTTGATGATCGTTGTCGTGACCCGCGTGAGCTGGCTCCTGCAGGCAGTGGGCCGCGGCGGTGCAGCGCGCGGTGGGGCCGGCGCGTCAGGGGGCCGTGACGCGGCAAGACCTCGAGCGGCTGCTGGTGAGGCTCCGGTCCGACCTGCGAGCTCCCTCTCTAGCTGCTTCGCTCCTCAGACCCGGGAGAGACAGGCCTCGTGTTGTAGGACTGCCTGGTGCAGGCGTCTGAGCGCGGGGGTGTGTGCGTGTGTGCCCCCACAGGCGGAGGGCGAGGCGAGCGTGGTGCGCAGCGAGGCTCTGGTGGAGCTGCGCGCCACGGTCGGCGCGGCGGCCGAGTGGGAGGGCCAGCTGCGCAGGGCGCTCGCCAAGAAGGGCGCCAGCACGGATGTGGCCACGCTCCTCGACAAGGTGCGCGCCCGTCCCTCTCGCTCGCGCCACCGCTGTTTCAAGCCGGTCGGCTCTTGGCACCCTGGCTGCTCGTCGGTGCCCTGTTCCGCACTCCCTTCTCTTGTTCGCTGTGTCCTGTTCTGACAGCCTCTCCGGGGGGCGTGTGTCCAGGTGGCGTCGTCCCTGCAGGCGGGGCTGGCCCAGTTGCGGGGCATCAGCGAGGGCGGGGGCCGCCTGTTCTGTGCGTGCCAGCAGGTGTTCCAGGAGGCGGGCAACATGATCGCCTGCGATGCCTGCGACCAGTGGTGAGCTGTAGCCCGCCACATAGCCGTCGAGAAACGTGCTCTTGCATCAGCCCTGCCTTTTGCCGAGCATGCCCGATCATCCTTTCAAGACCAAGGACGACGGATGCCTTTCCCCCGCTTCGCTATTGGCTGCGGGGCTGATGTCGAGCGGGCGCGGTGGTGCGTGCAGGTACCACGTGCGGTGCTTGGGCCTGACCCAGGCGGCGGTGGCGGGGATCAAGCGGTACACGTGCCCCTACTGCACCGCGCTGCACAGTGGCGCCCTCCCGCTCGAGCCGGACGCCCTGGCCAGGGTACGCGCCTACGTCGTCCTTTCTGTCCGTGTTTCGGCGTTCGGGCTCTGCTTGTTTATTGCCTAGGACAACCCTTTGTCAGGTGCTTGTCCTTGCCAGTCGCTCAGTCAAACCGCGGAGCTGTGTACTGCAGCCAGGGCAATCAACCACTGCGTCTCTGGGCCAGACTGCCTCTCAGTCCCGTCCTGTGTCGTACCAAACGTTACACCGGAGGACGAGTCCACCGCCTTGCCCTACTGCAAGCTGTGGCTCAGCCTTGAGGCGACACCCCATTCACTTCCATGCAAGGTTGCTCGCCTCGCCCTAGCCATGCTGTCTGCTGCTTGCTCGCCTTCGCCCTTGGTGTTCCCCCCCTGGCCTGACCCCCCCCCTCGTGCTCCCCTCCGCCTGCAGCTGCGCACCAGTCGGCAGCCCCCCCTGGCCACGCTGCTGGAGCTGCACCACGCCGCGGCCGCCCTCTCCTGCAGGTGGGCAACTGAACGCGGCGCGGCGCCAAGCCTCTTTACGGCTGCACTGCTCACAACACGATTGCACTTTTTACATCAAGTCCTTCATACTGCCTGCGGTGATTGTGTCCTTTTCCCCTTCCATCTCTGCTTCGTGTTGCGGTTTGCTCTGGCTGGCGTGGCACTGCGCACCCTGGCCCTGCTTCGCTCCTCCCTCCTGGCACGGCTCCACGGCTGTGCCGGGGGCCACCCTGCAGAAAGCGGGCCAGTGCTCCACAAGCTGCAACCGCACCGTTTGCTGCTCGTCCAACCACTGATCATCGCTGGTCCCCTTCTCCCCCTCCTCTTTGTGTACAGCCTGGAGAGCGCTGCTGTGCTGGGGTCCGTGGTGTCTCTGGCGCACGACTACACCGCCGTGGCGCAGGCCATTCTCGACACCGCCCGCGCTGCCGACCCCGCCGCCGCCCCCGTCAAAGCGACGCCCCTGCTGCCGCTGCTCAAGGTGGGCCGCTCTCCCGTCTGCTGCTGCCTGGGCAAGCCTGCCAATGCGCTCGTGCGCGGTTTCACCTTTCTGCACCTGTCCTTGGCCGTCTTGTGTACTCCCTTGCATTCTGCGGAGAGACAAACTCTCCCACGCTCCCAAGGGTGGCCCGTCCTTGCTGCCCTGCGCGCTGGCTGTGCTGAGGCGCGCCGTTGTCTGCTGTGGCGTGGCAGTCCGTGGCGGTGTGCGAGGTGGCCCTGCCTGGCGTGCTCTTCGCGGTGCTGGCCGCCATGCACGCCCTCACCTGGCGCGCCAAGGCCGCCAGGGCGCTCGACGGCGCCGCCCCCCCTGCGCCGCGTACCCTTGCGCGCATCCTCAAAGAGGTGAGCTCCGCGCATGTAGCCCTCCCGCCAGTCCTGGCTCTCAGTTCTGTCGCAAAGAGGGTGGACCGCAGAGCGCGAGAGGCGTGCCCGCTGGCTGTTGCGGGTGTGCACTGAGGCGGGGCTCTGCATTTGCTTGCGCGGAGCGCCCTCGCGTCTCGTTTGTGCACCGCGCTGGCTCATGCTGCTGCGTGCTCCGCGTGCAGGTGCCGCCCGGGGTGGCGGATGAGGAGGGCAGCCTGCTGCGGCGCCTGCGCGAGACAGACGCGGCCGTTGCAGCCTGGCTGGAGCAAGCCAAAGAGGTGCGGCGCCCTGGCCGGCACTTGCATGGCAAAGTACTGGCCGCCCAGTCAGGCCGGCAAAGCCATTGGACAGCGGTGACGTCCAACGAAAGCTCCGCTTGCACCTCAGTCCAACACCAGAGGCCACCTCACTCCTTTCTGCAGTAGCGGGGATGCTCTCGTGCCACCGAGTCAGCTTGACCTGGGCCCCTCTTTTCCTGCTGCCTCCCTACTCCTCTGCAGCCCCCTCCCCAGCGGCCCCCTTATCTCTGCTTCTCTGCAGGTGGCGAACGACGGGGGCGCTGCGCCGGTGGCGGAGGTGGAGGCGCTGATTGTGGCCGGGCGGGCGCTGCCGGTGCTCCTCGACAAGGAGTGTCAGGTGAGGCCTGATCCGTACGCCTCATCCCATCCCTTACCTGTGGTGCCTCGCGTGCTGGGCCGGGTTGGCCGCCCGCTGCCCCATCTGCCCGTTGTCCTCGCGGTGGCTGCTTGTGCGCGCCTCTGAGCGCTGTGTGCATGTGTGGCGTGCAGGAGCTGGCGGAGCGGTGCGTGCTCTACTGCGTGTGCCGCAAGCCGTACGACGAGGAGGTGGCCATGATCGCGTGCGACCGCTGTGACCTCTGGTTCCACTACGCCTGCGTCGGCCTGGCGGAGCCGCGCACGCCGCCCGGCAAGCGCGCGGGCGGCGAGGTGGAGGTGGACCTAGACTTTCTGTGCAGCGACTGCACCGAGGCGGTGGCGCGCAAGAGGGCCGCGGCCGCAGAGCGGCGGCGCCTACAGCAGGAAAGGAAGGCGGAGCGGGCACGCCGAGAGGAGCAAGCCGAGGCCGCGCAGGAGCAGGCCGAGCGGGAGGGGACGGGCGTGGCAGGGTGCCCCGCAGCATACGACGCCGGGGAGGCGCCGGAGGCAGACAGCGCGCTCCCGGTGGTTCCGGCCGGCCTGAAGCGAAAGCGGACCGTGCCAACCCGCAAAGCAAAAGCGGTTCCCGTTGTGTCCCTGCTCGAGGACGACCCGAGCGAGGACGAGAGCGAGCGGGCGAGCGAGGGAGGCGACGGAGGGGAGGGCGCGGAGGGAGGGGAGGGCGGGGATACAATGGGGGACGCACGCAGGCCCGCCCGCAGGACGGCGGGAGTGAATCACAAATATGCCAACGGGTACTACGTCCTCGGATGACCACGCCCGCTCAGACAGGCTGCGTAACCGACCAGCAGAAGCAGGTACATGGCGCGGTCAGGCTAGTGCACAAATGGTGTACGCCGGTACGGCACAAAAGCTTTTCCCTTCCTTCTAGTCCTTTCGAAGCGCAGGTCCTGACAGCCACTCGGGCAGTTGTGGCACGCCGTGATCACGATGCACCGCGCTTCTCGGGCTCTCCGTAGTCAGGTTGATGCGCGAGCCGTTCGTGAGCCGTGGTTAGGTTGAAGATTTTGACACTGCGCAGTTGGAGACTTACTCCTTAGTCGCGTCGCACCAGCAGAGAGTAGTTAGATAGATCAACTCGACCAAAGCTATAACGGGACACTGCGAACTTCTTTAGGGGGTTTGGCATAGGCTGTTCAGCTGTATATTACAAGCCAACAATCGAAACTTCTATTCCATTGTTGCACAACCTACTAAAACGTGGTTGCATGTTCGGCTGCAGAGCGCATGGTGATATGCGCTAGGCTTCGCAAACGTATTCGCAAGGCATGCCTAGTAAAGGGCGCAGTACTATGATGCGGGTACTGAAGAAACGCATCAGCTTTCCTTTGGGCGGCCTCTCTTTGTAAAACAAAATTTTACTAAGTGCACAGCGCTTGTCGATCTGATTGTGTTAGCGAGCCCCGTTATATTTGGACTTTTGAGCACGTGCATCGTACCTAGTCCATGCCCATGACCCTGACTCGTCAACTTTACTTGTACTGAAATCCACATGCACAGATTTTCTTAAACATCTCAAAACGCGTACTACTTATGAGCTGCTGCCGCGGGTTCCTCTGCATATCGACCGCCCACGCCCAAACAGTTGATCAGTTCGTCTCAGACGACGTTTCACCATGAAAAAGCAACCATAAGTGAAATTCGCAAGGGGCAAGGACAAGGACCGATTCCCCTTAGCACGGACAATCTACCCGGCCTACAACAGCATCTACATCGTGGAAAAAGCCGGTGAGTTAGTTTTCGATGACCATTCGCTAGAGGCTTTGATGTGATATCCCTTCGAAGTTTGTCAGAGTGTGCTTGGCATGCAAGACCAAGGGGAAGAGCATGGGCGCAAGGACTGCACTTACTCTGAGAACGTGAAGCAAGGTTATTCGTATAAAAGTCCGACCTATTTGGATCAAATAGCGCAAACTCCCTACTTGTATACGTTGGCGAGATTCAGACTCGGGGCTCATATTCTGGCAATAGAGGGAGGAGCTTGGCATGGCAAGCCTCGAGCCGAGAGGTCTTGTACCATGTGTACGACGGGTGAGGTGGAAGACGAACTTCATTTCGTTTATTGTAATTGTCCAGCGTACGGAGACCTTAAGAAAGATTTTCATTCCATCTTTGAGGACAACAAGGAGAAAGACTTGAAATCGTTCCTCAATCAACAGGATAAGTACGCAGTAGGGAAGTTTTTGGATTGAAATAAGCTTTGCAGTGAAGGCAGCCTTAGTGCATAGTTTAGAGTAGCTATGTTCGTCGACTTAGCCGCCCGACCAAGGCTCCAAACCGACGTCAAATTCCAAATCCAAATCCAATAGCATCTCTGCATGCATGTCTCATTTGCATAACATCCAATTCATGCATCTGGCACATGCTAGCTAGCTATAGAATTTGAGTCGTTAGCATGTAGTTCAGGTATTCTGCATCTTCCCGGGACGGTTGACATACCTACATGCAGCCGTACGTAGCAGGCTGTAGACATCGTGCTCGGTGGCTGATTAAACGACCGTGACGCTACATAAGGACGTCAGAAAATGGGAATTATTTTACCATCTAAGCAAAGAATTTGCAGGTGCAGCGTGTGCACAGTTCGGTCATCCAAAAATCAATTAGCCATAGCGTCCCGCCTTTAATTGAAGACGGCGCCCTCGAAAGTAGTGATGACCTGGAGTCAGTAGTTTGCTACCGCGTCAAGCAACTCTGTGCGAATGGCTATTTTACAATTGCAGCACGTCAATCTTGGGCTAGCTTCATTGCATAAGCGGGCCGAGTTATAGACCACTGTCTATATTGCATGACCATCATGTCGGCCTCGAGCCGCACTATGATGTGCCCAAGTTGCATGTATCACATGCATGCAGACCGCAAACATCATCCTTCGATCACTTCCGTTCAACTTTATCCGGACACAAACATCGTTGTCGTTGGGCTTCACGGGGGTATTAAAATTATCGCTCATGACAGACTGTCGTGTAAAGCATCTTCCAGTGAGGAGAAAAACGAGTAGTTCGGATATTATGCTTCAACGCTAGTGCCGCCTGAATGCGACAACTGCATACAGAGGATCGTATATCAACAACAATTGCATGCAGAAGATTGGGTACATCAAGGCATACAGATTTGCGGACTCCCTGGACCTCATCCGTTGTCTCTCAGAACAAGCTAGCAAAGCTACTTTGTGAGGTTGTTCTGCTTACTGTACAAGTCTACAAACGAAAGTGCTCAACGACGGAGTCGAGATCGAATTCAGGTCAAATAGTATCAACTTGCGCCTGACCCGGTGGTCCACTGACTATCAACGAGGATGCATGGACCATGTCGACTTCAAAGAATCAATATCATTTGACCCGCAATGTATGCTGTGCGCACATACTAGGTGGCACACTTGAATCGACGTGATCAACACGCGCTTGCTGCCCTCGGGTGCGGCAGCCGGCAGTGTGGTGTGCGTAGCCTACGCTTGGGCGCGCGCCAACGGGTCGAACTTGACCCACTCCTTCTTGTCGTGGTCGAACAGGTTGCACTGGCTCACCACCGTCTTCATGAGCGGTACCCCGAAGCGCGCCTTGTTCACATATTGGCCCCAGTGCTCCTCAATTGCAGCGTACGCCTTCCGCAGGTTGTAGCTGCAAAACACCGCAGCAGCAACACATCAGCCACCCAGCGTGTACGCAGCACAAAGACACAGCAGCCGAAGTCAGGGGGCTGCGCGCCAGCTGCGGGACACTGTGAAAGACCTGGCTGCCACTCTCAACGAATCGTTCATGTTTCGCGTTTTGAACCGTCGCCTGTGTGCACCTGGTTAGGCCACAAGTACAGACTCAGCGGTGCAGGTGGAGCGAGCCAGTGCGGGTAGGCTTACTGGGGGATCTTGGTGGACAGGTGGTGCGGCACGTGCACGCTGATGTCGTGGCACAGCACCTCAACCCTGCACACACAGGAACAAGCGCATCGTAACCACGACCCAGCGTGATATACCCAGTCGGTGGGAACAAGCTGATGCATTCCCTTACCCTGCTCTGTGCACCGCATCAACTCTGTTGCTGCAATAACGCAAGCCCCTCTGGCAGCTCAGCCTCCAAAATCAGCATGCACAATTGCCGTTCAATCTGAAAGGGCGTGAGCGGGCCGAAGTGTGGCGAAGCTGGTCGCAGGGCGTACCATCGCGGGTACTCGCAGTGCACCGTCCCGCCCAGCTGCGCCTTGACCTGGTCCCACTCGCGCGCGTGCTTGAACGGGATGTGCGGGGCTGCACGGGGCAGACGTGGCGCAGCGTGAGCAACAGCATTGTCGAGGGGATGGGGGCCGGGGAGAGGAGCTGTCCCCCGAACGAAGCAGGCACCACCGATTGGTCGACACATGTCTCGGCGAACAACACTTTGCCCTCTGAAAGCTGGCAGGTCCCAAGCACAACCCGTATCACTTATCTTGGCCTGTTTCGAGGAAGGTCCAAAAGAGCCAAAGGATGCAGGGAAAAGCATGGACAAGTGGTCGCTTGCAATGCTTCCTCCCCCATGCTCCAGGACCTTTGCTCCCAGTGGCGGCAACGGGGACAAGTCAATAGCAGTCATAGAGAGGCTGTACTCCAAAGATACCGCTGACATCTACGGATGCACGATAGACAACTGTGCAGTGCGACGTGTCATGCCTGAGTGGTAGGAGCATCACTCTGGCGTGTGTCCTCTGTTTCCTGCTGCCTGTTGCGTCTTGCTACGCGCTGCCTCACCTGTGTGGTGCACCAGCGTGAAGGTGGACATCCAGAAGTGGAAGCCCAGCCACGGCATCAGCCTGCACCACCGCACACAACCACCACCAGGCTCAGCCCAGCAGCAAAGGACCAGAACGTGCACCAGAGAAGGATGAGCCCAATCTCACCATGAACGTCAGCCCTACTCTGATGCTCCCCACTGCCTGACAGCAAGTAGCCCTCTGTGCATGCAATTGGTCAGCAGGGTGCAGCGCGCGCGAGCGAAGCGGGGCGGCCACAGCCCTGCACGGTGCGCAGCACTCACCACCACTTGACAAAGGCAATGGGCCCTTGCGTGACGAGCAGCGGGACCAGCACGCCGGCGGTGAAGGCCGCCACAGCAGCCAAGCTGATCTTCACCTTGCCCTGCTCCGCGGCGCGATACTTGCTCACATCGTAATGCCAGATCTACATGAGAAGTGTGGGGTCTCACAAGATTAGCTTTCCAGCTTTGTCTGCATGCCTTGTGCCGAGTCTTATGCTCAATTCTCCTAAAAACCGGTTTGATTTTGAACACAAGGAGAGGCTAGCGCAGAAACCAGGTCTTCATAGTGGTCAGACCACTTGATTAAATGCTTCCTCCGCGATCACTCATCTCATCCTTGCTCTGTCGTGCTCTCAATACATACACCACAAGTATTTGTCAAAGCTCAATCCTGAAAAGAGATGAGACTTGTGCTCTAGTATCAAAAACACCAAGACATGTGCCTTCTAAAGTACAGTCTATTTTGATAATGTGGGCGGACTAAATGATTGGAGCATTGCTAGTACATGAGCCTTCTGTCATTAACAGAAGATCGCAGCTGATACTTAAAGAGGCTTGCAAAGCCTTTGTTGGCCGCTGGCCCGCTCCTCACCAGCTGATGGCCGATGCTGGCTAGCCACCACGCAGGGCCCATTGCAGCGCGCATCAGGAAGCGCGCAACAGGGCCACCTTTGTCAAACTGAGCGGGAGTGAAAGGCTGCCACGCGGTGTCAATCTTGAGCTTGTTGGTGTGGGCATGGTGCGTGTTGTGCTGCCAAGAGCAATGCAAAGTCTCAGTCCGAGCTGTCAACAACTTCGTCTCACCCCTGAAAGAGGGCCTCTGTGAGGCAAGCCACTGTCCTGCACCAGCAAGAGAGGTTCCACTGACCTAGCCTGACTCTCTGATCACTGATTTGACGAAGCAATTGGCCTTCGCCGTCTTGTCTTCTTAAACAGAGCTTGGCCCTGCTGCAGCGGAAATACCCCACGCGGCCTGATATGTGGGAGAGCCGCACAGGCAGGAAAAAAGCTGCTTCTGGTGCAACCCCAGGTGCTCGCCAGATTCCAAAACAGCGGCACCCATCTCCAGAAGGGTGTACCCTGCCTGCGAGCCCTGGCTGTCCACTCTGCTCCTCAAACACTGAGCACAACAAAAGTCAGGGCCCTCACCTTGATGCGCCACGGCTCAAAGGGATAGACCAGGGGGGCAAACACCAGCGTTCCCACAACGTCATTTACAAGCTGGTTCTTGGAGAAAGTGTTGTGCCCTGCACAGCGCACTCAGGGCAGCCTCAGCAGAGGCAGGGCGGGCCGAGGAAGAGGCAAACAGGTGCTGCAGTCTGTGAGAGCGGCTGTTGGTCAAGGGGCAGCAGGGCAGTGCAGAACCAGGGATGTTGTTGACATACATGCGGACAAGGAGCATGGGAGGCAAACCTGCATCGTGGCCAATGACAAAGAGGCCCGTGACTGCAGCGCTGATGTAGGCGTAGACCGCCGGCAGCAGGTACCAGGGGGCCACCGCCAGGGCGGCATACCCCAGGGCCACCGCGGGGATGGTCACGGCCACCGCGCGCCAGCTCTTCCACTCATTGATCTCAAACACCTGCACATCGGCCGGACACCAGTCACAGCCAGCACTAGCACGGTTGCCCAGTTGCATGGTGCTTGTTGACAGCGTTCAAAGCAAACAATCAAGAGAAGCAAAAGCTTACAGAGAAACGGTGGAAAGCAATGAAGAGAAGCAAAACCTTACAAGGAAACAGTTGAATCCAGCTTTCGAGAGATGCCATCACCAATGTCTTCAAGTTAGGCAAAAGTCCAGCCAGATCTTGCTAGATGCTTTCCCAGATTGGGTGCCTAGCTAGCAGGTGAGCGACCACCGAGTGCCGGCTGCCTGATGCAGCCTCGTGGGCAACCACCCCCAGGGCCTCACTTCTTTAGGCAGCGTTTTAAGGACATCGGACATGGAGATGTTGTCCGGGACGGGCTCCCCAATCTGAGTGAAGCCCTCCACAGCGGTGGGGGTGAGGGGAGCCACCGCGGCGCGCACACCACCAGAGCGACGCTGCCCGCTGAGCTGACCAACCTGATGAGAGCAGGAGGGGGTGCAATGGGCAAGGGGCAACGTGCAAGAGGATGCTGGGAAAGTGTTGTTTTAGGATCGTTGACTGTCCAGTTGCCAGTCTCCAGTGAACCACAAACAATCATGTGGGCAAGCAAACCGGAGGAGTGGTGTCATTGCAAGAATCCTTTCAATTGCAAGTTTTGAGGACCAGCTTCTAGTAAAGACACCTATTAACATAAGGGGCGGGGCTTGAGATTAGCGTTTCTGGCGGAGAATGCATAGGATCATCCAGTGCGCGGCTGCATTGTATCGAGCTTTTGCGCATTCCCGCTCTTCTGCCCACCTGTCCACTGCGCTTCAGCTGGCAGATCTGGCCCAAGAACATTTGCGAGGAGACAGGGCCCCGGCGGGAGCCAAGCAGCGGAGAGGCCGGGCAAGAGCTGCCATCCAACAAGCTCGCCTGCAGACCGCAGATACAACACATGGGTCAGAACGGAGCAGAATTGCACGGGACCCAGATCTACTGCTCCAGCTCAGAACCACACTTGCCACTCCCAGCCTCAGGCAAGGGGGCCCCAGACCATGTGCGTATGTCATTCCTGGTGACATTGAATTGCAGATCCAACCGCACATGGTGCTATACCTGGGCACTCGTAGATGCAAAGGCGGCGGAGGAGATCCGGGCAGCCGTTGCCGCAGCACTGAGCGCCATGGCGGACTCAGGGACACCTCACCACAGAAGGGCGAAAGACAACGATGGTCCGCTCAACCAGATCACCAAGGTAGGTACTGCACAGTTTACTAGATTGCTTCCCTTAGCAAGTTCGAAAATTGGATGCAGTACTCCCTTCCTCGCAGGCATTCCGCTCCACAGCCGGCGCACTGCGCAGTGCATTCAACCGTAGGAGTCCTAGGTAGGTAGCGTAGGGGCGGGTTGTGCTACCTAGTCATAGGTACCTAGTACGGTAGGTATACGATGTACCTAGCCAATACCGGTACCTATTACCTAGTACCTACCCGGTACCGGATTTGGTACACAGTACATGAAGTTTCATGGCCGGGCGCGAGACGGCAAGGACCAATCCCCGATACCATGCCTTTGCAATCTTTTTACGGAAGCCTATTGGTCGATCACTTCCATGTAAGAGGACATCTTGAGGTTGAGAGGCATCCGCATCTCGTCCAACGGCTGCCAACGCATCCACGCCACCCATTTTCCTCTCAGTGGTGTACCAGCAACCATACTACCGTAGGTAGGTACGGTGGTTACATAGGTATGGTACGGGTATGGTACGGGTATGGTTTGCTCCCGTATGGTACAGTAGCAAGTACAGTGTACATGTGGATGCATGACGGAATCCCTGCATTTACTAACTATCCAGGCATACTAACTATAAAAATACGACCTGTGCGTTTTGCACCGTCAGATTTACACGTGGATGTATTGTACGTGCTACGATTGTATTTCCGCTCTTGGTCGTATCTAAAACTGGAGGATGCGAATCAATAAAATGTTCAAAGTTCGAGTCGAAGTGTGTCTGAGACGCGCGGCCGTATTTTCATGGGATCATTGATCCTTACTGATATAACCCGTCGGGTGCCGAGGGTCAAGGCCAAACTGCCATATTCGCGCTAGTCGCGAAGGCAGGCTCGAGCTATGCAAGCCGCTGCCTAACTCACCGGCCGCATGATATAGCCGGCATAGCTTCAGTGTAGATTGTTGTACGCCTGCCATGCAAGCGTATCCACACCGGAAGCTTCAGCAACAATTTATAAAACATGAGACATCATTGTTCATTTGTGACAAACTATGTGAGATTTGAAGAGAAGAAATATGTGGATAAGAGGTCACAACTTAACGGGGTCACAACAAGCATGCTGAAAAGATTGTGAGCATGAATGTAACTTAGCCGCAGTAGCTGGAAACTGGACCCCAGTGCACAATCCGAATAAACTACCTAACTACCAGTGCAGAAATATAGTATTGCAGTATGGCACGGCTGCAAACCAGGGTATGTGCTGCTCGCGTGCTATCTTCACTAAACAACTGGAACAAGCTCAATGGGTCTCATGCAGGCCCTCGGGGGCACTTCAAGTGTCATCACAAAAGGTGACTCGATACAGTTCCGGTTAAGGTCCGTACAGAAACTTACAATTCCTATACGGGAACCAATTGGGAATGAAACCTATGTTGAGAACCATATGGAACCTTATGGACCTTTATATAGGTAATCATTCCATACCGTTCCTATATCCGTTTTTGCATGGTTCCTTTATAAAATGTTGCATAGGCCCGGTACGGGTTACATGTAGTGTTCCGCATGGGCTTTTAACCGATATAGACTCGTATATGTGCATTATAAGGATTGTATATAGGATTCGTACATCAACGTTTGGACACTGAACAGTTCGTCTACATGTCGGACGCATGTTCCGAGTTGTACATTCATTGAGACGGACGTCGAGACCGCGCCGTACTTTTACATACCCTTAGTCACATTCCATCATCTCAGATCGTCGTAGATCAGAATGGATATTGAAGACGGAAAGCAGATGAACAATAGCGTCACAATGTTATTTCGATGCAAATAATCAGCGGACCAAATTGAGCTCATCTAGTAATTCGCAAATTGTTCACTGAACCTAAGGACCTGGCTGGCTGAGATTTACTTGCCCCGACATTATCATTGCGAGTACCTTCGACACAATTTGCGGATCAATTGCTGCGGGCTGGCCACCCGGGTTGCCAGGAGTGCTGACCGATGGCTGAGGCACGTTTACATGTTGCGGAGTCAGCGGTGTCCTGACGCTGCTGCCTGAAGTGCTCAAATTGTTCGGCGCAGTGCCTGGTGGGGACAGGCCATCCACCTCATCCTCCCCGTTCATAAATAGGGACGGCTCCGGAGCTCGGATGAACGTGTACTCGGTCCCCGCAGCGAATGCGTCGACTTCCGACTGGAGCTTCTTGAGGCACGCCTCGTAGTGCAAAGCCATGCCTCCATCGTTGGGCAGCCTATCGGAAGGCGCACGGTTCTCAGCCGGATTCCCAATGACGATGTCGATCTGCAAAGAGAGTCGAACTGAATCAAAGAGATGTTTGCTTGAGCCCCCGTATGATCTTCAACTAGGCGCTTTCTAAATCCAACAAGGGCCAGGAAAACAACGTTGAATTTCAAGATTGGAAGACAAACGACAGACGCGCAAAGTTTGGGCAACGGGTGTGTCGTCCTTAGGTGCATCTTCAGAACTGAGTCCGCCTTTTCGATTAACGAGTCCAGATATGTAACAGATAGATCTCTAAAGCAGATACGTGTAAGTCGGATGAAGGTTTATGGGCCCAGTAAGGGCAGATCGCTTCTTGGATCGAGGCGAGATCTGCGAGCATTACTGCGTGCTACAAACGACAAAACGAACTGCATTCCGATTCCGTTTCGTGTGTGAAGACGTTTAGCCACCAGCTCGGGTTCAGAATCCCAAGTTCTTGCATCAGATAAACTCCCGCTAGCTCCATTGGATTCCGTCGACTTTGTATATATGGAACTTAATATCAGATGGATCAATATCCTGCCGATGAGAGGCAGTCTACGGGCAGCAACACCAAAACCTTCAGTTGAACATGAAGGTCACGGCAACAGAGTCCAATTCTGTGTTGGCAAAACTTGAAGACGGCAAAAGCTTACCACGGCAACCACAATGGCAGCTTGCTGAATGAACACACGCAGCTCGTCCACCCGCTCATTCCAGTTTCGGAGGAAGACATGGCCGATGACCTTCTTCACACGGATGTCACCGAAGGGGTCACCATGTCGGACGCGAAAGCCGTCCCCTAGAGCAAGAGCAACCATTCAGAATCAGGACGGTCGAGCATCCAGCCCATCTCAACGGATCGAGCTAACAATTCCAGAGGTCACTCGAGAAATCAACTGACGCCTTAGAGTCAATCCCGGCTGGAAACCTTCCGGATCAGGGACACCTCGCAAGTAATCTGTAATTATAGCTAGAGACCAAAGCTGACATCTGGTGCGGGATGTAGGCACGAAGACGGACGGTGCACATGCTAAAGGATCTGGCCCCTTAGTGTCTTGATTGTCTTGGCGCTCTTCCTTCTGTAATACCAACACTTGAATCAATAACCATTTATAAACTCCAGACCCGAGATAAATGTATCAAGGAGAGAAAGCAGACAGGTCAACGCTTACCCTGCAGAGGTGCAATGTCAGTTAGGAAGCCGTTGTAGTCCACCTTCGGCTTCCGGATCTCGTACACACCATAGAGATGATGTTTCACCTTCTTCACCACCTCCGACCGCTGCTGCATCTGCTTGGTGGAAGCCGCCTGCCACAGGTCGCCGTGATTGGCTACCCAGCCCACGGACCAGTCGTAGTCGTCCTTTGGTACTTTGAGCAGGACGCGGGTCACCTTGGCGATGGGGTCGACCGCGGTGTAGAAGCCGCCTTCGGAGCACCCGCTCTCAAACACAGCGTGGACAGCTCTCCCGATGGTTTTCTGTGGAGCGGCATGATAGAAAAAAAGGACTCTCACATCCCAGCGTTTGGGAGGTATTGAGAAAGTGACAAAAAGGAAGCACTATAATTCAAATTGAAGTGCGGTCTTGAACCGAGTGGAACCTAAACGTCAATTCAACGCAATCAGAAGATTTGTACTCCTCGCAGAGTGAAAGCTCCAAGTGCTCCCCTGAAAAGCAAGTCCGCAGTGAAAAGTGGTCCTCTCACAAGGGTGGGGGTTTCGCCACTTCTGCTGGCTTGGCTTAGATTATTGTACACTTGATCGATAACCTTCGTGCCACCACCAGAACTTTGTCGCTCCAAGAAGATACATCTGGAAACCCATACCTTCAGTACTATGTGGTACATGAAAACTCAGAAATCTGAGCAAATCTGTGCTTTTGAAACCAGCTTGATTTGGGGCACATTTGCAAAAGCCCTCTGACCTATACAATAAGAAACAGCCTACACCTGCATTTCAAAATGTCCAAAATTTACTTGATCAAGGCCATCATGATAAGTAACCTTGACTGTCAACTCACAAATGTCTTTGGTGTGCTGTACTTGTTCGGGGCTCCGCTGTTGCCGGTGCTCGGTGGGGGAAGACCAGATGGCGCAGCTACGCTTGCACGTCCGCCTTGGAGAGCACCTTGCATTGCCTGCGTGACCATGGCCTGAATTGCTGGCAATAGGTCAGCTGCTCCTCCAGAGGGCATCTGGAGAGCTGCCAAGCTCAGCGCAGGCGCGAGGCTCTGTGGCATTCCGAAGGGCACTAGAGCTGTCGAGGGAGCATACTGGGTGCTTTGCATCGCCAGCAGCTCCTTCTGCAGCCTGATCTTCTCCTGCATCTGCAGGATCTGGCTGCTGGACGTCACCGCCCCTGGAGCTCCACGCTTGAGCGCGCTCTTCTTAAAGGCCTTCTTTCCGGGTGTCTTCTTCTTTTTGGAGCTCGGGTCTTTTGAGGAGCCTGCATATGTCAGCCTGTGCAATGCGTGAATTTATGGTACTCATACAATGTACAAAATACTGTATGCAACTCTTGGAAGATAAGTTGAAGTTGTGCTCGACCAAGAAGACGGAACTGACAGCAAGCAGCATTCTTTCCGGGCCTCTGAACTTTGTGCAGGTCTAGAGCCCTCTTGCATTGTCTGCACTGAGCAAAAATAGTGGCCCAGCAAAGAGCTTGTCCGGATATATGCAGGAGCTGGGATTGAAGCAAGTCTCAGTCTTCCTCCTTACGATGACATACTCTTAGGTTTCAGAGAGCAGCATGGCGTTGTGTACTTGCCCGGATTGGAGCGAAAAAGAAGCGTAAGACAACTCTGCGGCAAAGACAAGAAAGAAACCAGCACAATCGTCAGAAAGGGAAACCAAGTATCTCAAATACGAAGAACTCGTCAGAAGCCAACCCAAAACCGCCCTTGCTGTGATAGGGTACTTGCCTGACTTCCCTTCTTGCGCACATAATCATCACCCCCAGCTGGCAGGCTTGCATCATCGCGCTGTTGGCTCTTCTCTCTCGCTTCTGCTAGGATCTTCTCAAGTGATGGCAGTCTGTCCGCTGAACTCCTTCCCCTTGTACCTGATTGCTCGCCCTCCTCCGCTTCCTTGCCTTCCTCTTCCTCCTCCTCTTCATCCTCCTCCTCCTCCTCTTCATCGTCGTCATCGTCGTCCTCCCCATCCTCCTCGTCATCATCCTCGTCATCATCCTCGCTGTCATCTTCCACATCCTCTGGCTCTTTTTTGGTTCCAGTCTTGACGAACCTTCTGCAAGGTGGACTACGCCGGCTCTGTTCTTCTCCCTCATCGTCATCATCATCAATCCTTTGCTTTTTCTTTTTTCCTCCTTGTGCAACATCACCATACCCTTCATCTTCCAGATGCTTTGGAGGTCTCCGGTCTCTCTTGCCACCTGTAGGCATGGTGACTGCGACTGCGAGGATGTCAACAGAGCTTGATGATGAGTGAAGGCTATTAACAGCGCCTGGGGCCTGTTTGAGGGGGATGCTTGTCGAAACTTTGCGCTCAGGACCTTTTCTGTTTAGAGAAGGTAGCTCACAAGGAACCTGTGAAGTTTTGAAGAGCTCAGGAGGACGACTGAATGACCAAGAATTTTGAATCCAAGCCCGAACCCGCTCCCGCTCCAGCAAGGTGTCAAAAAGGCCCGCGTGACAGGACTCGATTTAGAACTGGAATTCTCTTGGTAGGGCCTCACGGGTTCCAGGACAATGCTTTCTAAATTACCGGTCGATTGGCCTCCAAACTCTCAAACAGATTTGAATTTGCCCTTGCCTGAATTTGCAGGGGGCGCTCATCGTGGATTCCAAACCCTCCATACATCGACGGCCATCAACTTCTGAGCAAAACCCGATATAGGAGGACTGCGGCACAGCAGCTGAACTGCCGGCGGCCCGGCCGCGATAATTAGGCCGCGGCCGCCCCGGTCACATTTTTTTTTTTTTTTGACACTCATATTCAAGCGCTACATGAGCATCGGACTAAGACACAGTATACCGTAGTGGCACGGGAATTCGCGGGAAAATAATCCGAAAAGGAGCGACGCGAAAAAAACGGTAAAATGCGGACCCAGTCCGCGAAAATGTCGAGAAATTAGAGACTGACAGCAGCAAGCAGAAAAGGCCTAAAATTAAGCAAATAAGCCCTAGTTTGGGTGCTTATAGGCTGACCGCGAAAATGTGAAAAATTGCTCAAGTTGCCCGCAAAAATGTAAAAAGATCGAAAATAATCATTCGCGGCGCCAGACCGCGAATTCCCGTGCCACTACGGTATACAGTCTAGACTGGCTCGACAACACTTGACCATTTGTCAACTGGCTCAACTGAGCTTTAGAGGTCTTCTTCGATCAAAGGCGCATTGCTCTGGTGAATGGGTGCCCAGAGATTGGATCTGCGCAGATCGCTGTGGGTGGAGCTGCAAAGCAAAGATTGAGGGCTTGCACTTGTTCTTAGGGGCGCTGCGTTCAGTTCACCTCCCTTATATATCACTTGGTAAAGGTCAGTTACACCATGTTTGATTGCATCTGTGGTTCAGCTTTTCCTACGGTGCAGCAGCTTAGCAACCACCGCCGTAGTAGCACACGGTGTGGTGCTCAAAACCTAGCCAAGCGCCCAAGGTTGGACTCAGCGGCTGCTCAAACCGTAAGGGCACAGCATTTGACAAGTGGTCTTGCTGCAGGTCAATGGGGACCTCCTCCGCTGGCTGCAGGCAGCCCAGGCATGCCAGCATTTGAGCAGTTTGCAGATCCGCCGAGCGTAATCTCGATTGAGCAGCATTCTCGATTTCAGGACGCACTTGATGGTTATGAAGATCCGCTGCCAATGTCCGCAGGGAACGGCGGCGTGCCTCTTCAGGATCAGAGCTGCTCTTCAGCTCCTGCGCTGGGAGCCTTTAATCCAAGCAAAGCGATGCTGGATTTTCTTACAAATGCCTGCCAGGGCAGAGGGCTCTCCAACTCGGACATTGACTGGTTGCTGGGGATCATTTTCCATCCCGACTTCGACAGGACAGAACTGAGGTTTCGAAATGCAAAAGAGTTTCGCAAGTTCCAAGACGGCCTCCAGGCGATTCAGAATGCCATGGCAGCAATGGAGCTGGACGGTTTGGTGCCAGATGAGAAGGTAAGCTGCGGATCTGATACTACAAGTTGTCACTGCAGTTTGCGTGGAAATCATGCTGCTCAATAGGTATCACCTAGGTATCACCTTTTCAGTGTTTGCATGAACACTCATGCTTTTGGTACTTGAAGTGTCTCATGTCTGCAAAGTATTTTAGCTCGGTCGTTGGTTCTTCCGGGCGTCCGCCAATGCAGATTTTCGTTTTGTGGGCAGGGGTGGTATTCTCGGAACATGAGACAGGACGGCGATCACCAAGACCTTATTTTCCGGTGGAGAAACCCTGTTGAGGTGGTCCGGAAGCTTTACGGCAATCGTCGGTTCCGGGGGGCATTTAAAGTATACGCCAGGCCTATCTATAACAGGGAAGGAAAGAGATGTTTTACCGATGCGGCTTCCGCAGGTTGGTGGCTTCGCTTGCAGGTAAAAATTGTTGGACAAGCACTCCTGGTTCCACCATGCAGAAGTTTGCTCTGATTGCGTTGAGCCACTTTTCTGGTCCTACGAATGTACTGCGCATTGTCTGAAGTGCGTAAAGCCACTCGCAACAGTCTTAAAAGTTCTTGTCATGATTTGTCGCTATTGCCTTCCTTATGTGCTTTGGATCGTCCCCATTGGTTGGGAGACCTCCTATTGCATGAGGTCAGCACGTGTGTGCGACAGAGTCTCCTGTCGCTTTCCTCTGAGTACTTGCTGCAAAATCTTAACTTACAAGGGTTTAATGCGCAGGAAAGGATCGATGGCGTCGTCGCTGCGGTCGCTATGTACAGCGACCCAACTGCAGTATCAGGTGACATGAGTGTAACAGGGTGGCCGGTCACCCTGACAATCCGGAACATCGGTTCATCGGTGCAGCACCGCGGGGAGTACGCCGTCTTGGTGGGGGTTGTATCGCAGCTCCAAGAGCTCCCAGAGTTCGGTGCGTCACTGTCAACTGGATACTTTTCGCAAACTAATGGAAGACCTTGAAGATTGCTAAGTTGCATCTGAGCATTGTCAGCCTGCACATGGCAAGTTTTTCCATTGAGCTTTTGCTCCTTTGTCAAGATCTTACCAAGTATTGGCTGCAGCCTGGCCATGCTGTCAAGGTCTGATCCCTTTGCTTCTCTGCTCTCAGGATTCATTGCATCCTCGCGCGCTTTCAAGGAGCGGCGCTCAACCCTCCTGTGGCAGTGCGAAACACAGATCTTGGCTCTCTTGAAAGCCGCCAGCTCAAGGTCAGTAACACGGTGATCAGGGGTTTTTCGGACGAATTTTTCCTGAAAGAAGTGGAGGGTGCGAGGACTGCATCGTCAGTCCAGCCACGGGCGTTAAACTACTACTTTGATCAGGGATCTGTTGAACATACTGATGTGGAGGTGGAAGCAAAGTTATCATTCTTGGAGCAAATGGTCAATTCTGGTTCTCAACACCACTGCCTATTCACCAGGTTTTCTTGGCGTTCGCAGAGGTGTCTTCATGCGAGACCCCTGGGGCGTCCTTCGTAAGGTGTACCCGGGGCTTTACTCGTACAGTTGTGATCTCCAGGAGGCCTACAAGCTCGGCGTTGTCAAAAGCGGTCGGTGCCTTGACTGTCTGGTTCCTCCGAGCGAGTTGAACGACCTGGAGGGCCGATGGCCCGAGAGATCGGAGGCCTTCATGGGCAGGGTGGTGGCAGCGTGTACCGCTGCTCTAGAAGAACGAGAGCCGGGGGTGGTTGGTGTGACGATTCGAGTCTATGAATCTTCATATCG